TAAAATAGCGTGAAAAAACATCGGGGCGCATCCCTGTTAAAGTGCTCAAAACGCGCTTTTCTTAATGGCACTTCAAGTTGCGCTTGTCGAACAGGCCCTTAGTCCCACGCTCATGTTGTTAAGATTAAAACGAACATTTTCTTGATAATGGACACAAGCAAGACGGAGGCCGCCTGTTGCTTTTTCCGTTCAGGCTCTTGTCGGCCACTGAGTCAACGTTTCGACTCCTCCCTCCTACATCTCCCACGGTCCTCGAGTATTGCGCTTTACAATAATCTCCCTCCCCACACAGTGATGGCTACGCCGAAATTCTTCGTGCCTTCACCTCCTGCTGAAGAGATGTTCAGGCGTTTTCTATTGGGAGTGCGAAGCCCGGAAACTCAAAGACCTCCTATCTGAGGCTATGTCGTGAAACATCTTTCACAAACACAACGGGATCCAGATACCAACTGCAGAATGCTGGCGGCACGTCATAATTGCCTACAGATGCCTCTTGGAAGGGCGAGGGATATTCCTCGCAACGAGTAAAAGTGCCGATTTTCCATCAAAGATCAGAGGTATTGGGAATCCGAGGACGAACGTCTTCGAGAGAGGTCGGCTCTTCATGAACACAATTTGCGGGTTGAGAAATGGGGCTTCCGGGGGTTTCGGGACGATCTGGTTTGATTCTGCTTCTGCACTGTCCGGGCGAGGCCGGCCATATTTCACGCAGCATATCAACACACAGAAGGTCGAGTCCGGTGCTGTCAACATGCTCCCACTTCGGTGATCGATTGCAGACCACCTCATTGCACCAGCATTGAGTTGAATCAACAGCGTGAAGATACCAACGATGTAGCATTTTATCAGGTGAGGTCCGCAAAGTAACCTATTTCGGTCTGCCAAAATCGTATCATGCATGTTCTACTTTCCTGAAGCCTTTCTACCAGCTATTCTAACAAACCTTGACTGGTTAGCAAAGTGATCTTGCCTGCGGTGAGGGAAGTTTCCCTGACCGCCCTGAACAAGCCAGTGTGTATCTACGCCATTCTTCTAGGTCCCTTTTTAGGTGTCCATTACGACGACCCCTGAGCGAGTCGTTCCCATGCTTGAGAAAATTGAGCCACACTGATACGCAAGAACCGGCACAACTGAAATAAGGTACGATATCAGGTAAGAGCAATTTCTGGACACCTCAACGCAGATTCTTGCCTCATCATGATCCACTGCGAGCATGGAGCAATAGGCTTCGGAGGATGTCATTTCCCAATAGGATGGTGAGCAAAGAGAAAGAGGAACGCCTCGTTGCAAAAGTGCTGTCGATTTTCGCCGAAGCACAGGAAAATGCTGATGTGCTTGCAAAACTAAATACCCCCAGGTCATGAATCAAATCGACAAAGGGAGATAGACAGGCTTCGGTCTTCTTCATGGGAGACCATCCCTATTACTGGACGGCAGACCCACAAAACTCGGTCCCTGTAACACTTGGTCTCGTTTCTTCGACAGTAGCGCAAATCATTTCTTGCTGTAAAGATGTTGAGTCTTCACGAAGCTTCCGGCATGGAATTGAACGGTGCAGTGTGCCTCAGCATCCCCACTATGGCTGCTTGTGTGGAAATTACAGCTAACGTTGATTTAGCATTCGATAGATAGCTTCATGTGGGGGCAGGACATGCATTACAACAGCCTTGTTGTATATTCTTCCGTCTTTGCCTAGCAAATGCTTCTGATGATGCTCTTGAGCAAGTCTGATGATTTCATTTCGGGTGTGAGATGCGTTGGCGTACATGTTTGCGGGCTTGAATTCAACTGTTATAGGCATTTTTATTTCTCCAGTATGAAGCAGTGCTTTTTCTTGCTGATGTGCCGGTGAGAAGTTTATGACAGGGTCTCTTGCTCAATCAATTGTGCTCGCTATATATCTTATGTCTTGCTGCGGAATCCGTGTTGGCGCGCGCCAAGTTCTGAAATGGAATTTGACCATTTACACCGCCTTCAGTGCGTGATACCAGTATATCACCAAGTGCTAGGGATCAGTCTTTAAGTGAAATTCCGATTGGTTAAATTAGCGCTTCCAGAGCGACGTGATTAACTTTAATGAGATCACGGGATGAATAAATAGCCTGTCCCTCTTCGCTCCTAAAATCTTGTGCAGTTCTTCGTCTGTTTCACTCACGTTGTGCATACCACAGCACCGAGATGAGGCGGCGCTTTGAAAGGATCTATGATGTTGTTGAGTCTGTTGAGGAGTATCGGTATGGTGGTTATCATCCAGTGCACCTCAACGATATATTCAATGACAGGTACAAGATTGTCGGAAAATTGGCCCATGGTCAATATTCCACTGTGTGGCTAGCTCTTGACCAGAGGTATAGTCATCTTCCTGAATCAATCTCGACTAAGCTGAAAGAAGGAGTTCTCAGCGCCATGTCGCTTTGAAGATTGTCAAAGCGGACCAGTCACAGACGAATAACGAGCTTGAAATTCTCCAGCACCTGTCCAGATCATCGCTTTCACACCCTGGAAGGAAATATGTAATAGAGCTGCTCGATCATTTTCAGCACAATGGCCCTAACGGCACGCATCTCTGCCTCGTGCTCCCGGTCATGTTGTCTGACGGTAGCGAGATGACCGTCCGGGGCCAACCACGCGATGCAGAGTATATCAAAAAACTGTCTGCAAAGCTAATTCTTGGTTTGGACTTTTTACACACATCCAACGTTATCCATTGCGGTAAGCTTTGCATACCGTCCCCCTTGGCCGTTTCACGCAAAAGATAGCTGTCTGACTCTTGCCAGACCTACAACCAGCAAATATTCTGTTCTCTGTGGCAGAACCGTCCGATTTTGAGATCCAGCTCCAACATCCAGAATTCTGCCCTGTGAAGTGGCTTGAGGGCACTGTGCCCGATAAATCTGCTCCAAAGTACTTGCTACCATCACAGAGATTCCGTGGAGCATTGGATAAGATGAAGATCTCTTCTCTTGTTGTCAAAATCGGTGATCTTGGAGGAGGCAAGTCTGTCTCAAAGCCTGGTGCTGAAGGACATCATAGCTAAATATTGCAACAGCTGTATCGCAAAATGTTCGAGTTCGTGAACAGCCAATCACCCCACGAGGGCTACGTGCTCCCGAATTGATTCGCGGAGAAATTTGGGACGCTAGCATCGACATCTGGTGCTTGGGATGCTTGGTGAGCATTGATTACCATTTTTTCTGTTATGCTGAGTCACTAACTGTGTGGAGATCTTCGAATTTGCTACAAACGAGCCGCTCTTTACTATAAACACATTCGGCATTACAGTGGAAGACGTCGATAAGGAACATAAGTCTTTGATTGGCGACATAATTGGAAGTGAAAGTCGGGATTGTGGAATCTTTCTGAACTACCTGAAGCAACGGTTGCCTTCAACCTTTGGAGAAGAAGATGTGCAATCGTTTGGAGCATTTCTACGCAGCATGCTGCAAACGAATCCGCGTCACCGCATTTCCACGGCACAGTTGCTTCGTCATTCATGGCTCGTCGAGGGACTTGGATGTGACGCTTTCTCGTCCGAAGTTTCGAGTGCACCGAACCTTTCATGACAATGGATGCTGAATTTTTTAAGGAACTCATAGCTGCTCTGCTGGCAATATTGGGCGGGGTGATAGCCTAGATCAACGAACGATATTTTCAAGCCTCCTGGTGGCGCTGTAGAGGACGTAGGGATCGAAATGATGACGCGTTAGTGATACTGGATCTGTGAGGTGGTGTTATCTTGTCGACTGGACTCTCAGGTCTGGGATTCAGGGCTTGTTCGTCAATTACTACATATATCCCTGGTAGAAAAGAAAGATGGTGCTTCTTTTCCTACAACCACTCCATGGGGTCCACCTCAAAAAATTAGTTGCAGAATACCAAGTCGAGATCAATGCCCCAAGAAACGGAAAGCAGAGACGTATTTTACGTATTCGATAATAGTATTTCATGTAGACATAGGGGCATATCGCTAGTCCGAGAGATCATGTCATAAGCTCAAGATGAGATTCTTATTTGTGGCCTGGTGCTACTTTTACTAGTGGTCGCGGCGGAAGCCAGACATCAAAGTGGCTGGGCATCAACTTCAATTCCGCCACCACAACTAACTCTCGACCTTCGACCGTCGACTTCGGGCACCAGTCAGCTTGACCTTCAGCGATAGTCCAGACAGTCGCATCGTTCCGGTTCTTTCCACCCAAGTCCGGTAAACAAATGTTCCCGGTCGTGATGTTCCTGCAACACGTCTTCACTCCACCCCGAAAAGAATGACCGACTTTTGCCGCGGGTTCCTGCTCCCACGTTCAAGTTCTCCTCCATCTTGGCCAACAATTTGCACCCTTCTCGGAGCTGCTCAACAAGTCCCTCGGCGCGTGTTGGAAATCCGTGTGGCGTGTTTTGACCTGTCTGTCGCGCCAGATCAACGCGCAACAACAAATCGGTGGTGTTCGACAGGATCCGCTCAAATGTCAACACGGCGCTCCCCAAATATTCCCGCTCGCCAACACAATGACGGCCCAATAGCCCAATAATGGACGTGAGATCTGCTTCTGTCTGCAACAGCTCAACCTTGAGTCTCTTGGCTTCGAATCCCAGGCAAAGTGCCGTGATACGATTTCTGGCGTGGATTAATCCGCCCCGAGTCTTGTTGAATCGTCGCGCTGCTTCGTCGGAGTTGAGCTTGGTCTTGATTTTGAAGGCCGAGGGATCTGACGCCCTGGGCCGTCTGCGAATGCACTCCATCATGTCTCTGAGGTGTATGTTGTCGTCGTTTTTCTCACAGGATCGGAGGTATGTGTTTTGTAGGCGATAACTGATCCCAGGTTTTGGCGAGATGTTTTATGTGATCTTTGGCGTCACGCTTAGCTTGGTGAACAGTGATGCTTTTATGATCGAGTTGACTACTTGATGAAGACGAGGAAGGTTTGCGGTGATGTCGATCGTGACCAGTTTAATACGCGGTCTCACTCAGAAGGCAGTACCCAAAGCTTAGTGAGGCTTCACGGTAAGTTTGTTGGTGAGTGAATGCTCAGGCATCTCAGGATAGTCAGGCGTGAAGGCTTTCAACGGAGTCGGTTCCTGACTACGGAAAGCTTTGTCTCCAGTGCGATTCCGGAAACTCGACAGATCATCCAAAGAGGTGCAAACTTTAACGCGACCCAGGGGACTAGCTGCTCTTTAGCCATAACATTTGACTCATTCCAAAGAACAGTGGTCAAGGACAAAGACGCGACCCAGAGACAGCATGTTCTCAATTATCAACATTTGGCTAACCAAGAAAGGATGGCCGAGAACATGGCAGGCCGTGGGCGGAAACGGGCCCAAGGTCCTCCGAGGACTTGATCATCCGGACTGCTTATATTCTGGCTCTATCCCTCCAAGCACTCATTTGCCCTCACAAACTAAGCACAGAACAGAATCATACAGCGAAACACTCACTAATCTGCAAGGCACTTCCACTCCTCAGCCTCTACAAGTTAGTCAACATTGGCGGAAAGATGGCATTTCGCACCAGTGATCAGAAGCCCCGATGCTGTGTTGCACGACTACTGCAAAAGCTTCGTCCGAACAGGCTCCTTGCTCGCTATCGTACTGTGCCTTCTCCCTGCAGCTCTGCAGCAGCACCGAAGGCTCTGACGGAGAAAGGAGGGAATACAAATGACCTGGCTGCTTCCTTACAATCGGCTGCTCGAGCTACCAGAACAACCATGACAACAGCGTCCGACAGCCAACATAACAGGAAGGCCTCGAATATCAAATATACCGATGATGCCTTTATTGAAAGGCTTACTAGTCTGTCATTGTTCGAGCAGGCTTTCCTAAAATCACTGGAAAATGCCCTGCGTCGTGAAAACTTGACGCTACACTTCTCGGAGCCCTTGCCGCCCTCTCAGCAAAATGACCCCTGGACACGGTTCAATGATGCTCGCCATGCTCTGGGACAGATGTGTTTTGATCGGTCCGAAACTTCACGTGTGTACTCTTCTGTCAACGACCGGGAGGGAGGGGACGTTCAATCAACCCAGGCAACCGAGGCCTGCAGCCACGGTGCCATGTGCGAAAAGGTCTGGTGGAAATGCTACAACTCCAAGCCACAAAATCCGATGGCTTGCTCCAACTGTGCAGACCGATGCTCTGAGCGCCCTGAACAATCTGTGGCATCCACGGACAATTTTCTTCCCGAGAGCCAGTCTTACCGGTCTGTAGTTGGTCGACCTCCCACACCATTTGCTTTTCCTCGACAACTTGAAGGTCCGTGGATCCACCAAAAACCCGGACACTGGGACAGCATCGGCGCAAAGTCCGCCCTGGAGAGCTGGATCAAGCAGTTTCTCATGTTCTACTATGAGCTGGAATCTGGATTGGCCATGTACTTGTACCGATACATTGATTTCTTCCTGTTTCCAGGGGCCAGAAAACTCGTCGCGGTTACTCGAGAGATGCCGAATATTCTGAGGAGGATGAAGGCCAATTTGAATATCCTGCCGTACACCGCTTCTCTGACCATCGAGAAGTTGGACATGGATCTCCGCGTGTGTATGAAAGAGATGCAGGAGATGTATAGCTCTCTGACGATGTGGATTGGTATGATGGCGAGTCCCTTCTACTGGGAAAGGGTAGCTCGCAGAAGGGTCGAAATCAAGCACGAGTTGGACCCGGTCATGGGACGGATTGCGGACAACCTCCGGATTTTGGTGCAGCAGATGCGCGCGAGAGACCGGTGGTTACAAAAGGAGGCCAAAAAGCTGCTGGTCTGACAGTGTTTAGGCTTTTGGCCGATCAAACTCACGTTGTCACTAGTTGGATGCAATGTTTGGTTCGTGAGTGTCTGGGAACTAGGGTTCCATAGGTGTTTAGGAACTGGCAAGCTGATAGAATGATACTAGAAGTGCCGACTCGACTTGCATTTGCTGTTCCTCCATTGCTCCTGCTCAAAGTTGCTTGTTTTTCCCGATTGCCTCGGCCTGCCTTTGGGGGTAGGAGTGGCCACTTCGCATCAACGCCTTTTGCCTACATCGACACGCTTGGCAGTCAATCTATTCTTTCATGACTATCTTGGACTGCTGCCAAAACCCAAAGCCCTTCAGTGTCGGTTGCCACAACATTCGCTACGCAACATGGGTGCCGCTCACACCAGACCAGAGACTCCACCATTGGCTCCACAACTCAACTATAGCATACCACAACATCGACGAAGCGCATCTTCCATCACTGTAAGCAGCGACGGCCCTCTCGCTTGTTTATATCTACAGCAAATCACCAACAGACGTTTTATTCGGACCTTGTACGTGGCTGACTTCTCACATTTCGATACAGGGCAGCCGCTCCCGCATCTCAAGCACATGTCCGACGCCCCCGGTCCTCCAGGCCCGCGACTACGACGACGACTGCCGAGTGCTCCGTCGGACTCTGGGGGCGGTCCACAAACTATGCAAGAACAAACCGCGACAGATCGAAGCCATCTCCCAGTCTCTGGGTAGAGCGTCCGGTCGCGACGGGCCCGATGGCGGGTTGGCCATGTACGTCCTCAACTTCGACAACTCGGTGACGGCGCTCTACCGGATTTTGTCGTACCACACGCATGTGCTCCACACAAACAAGCCGCCTCTGGACGTGCACGAGTTCTCAGACGACCTGGGCAAGTTGGCCGTGGACATCGAACGATGGGGGAAGGAGTTCAACGGTCTCGTCTTTCCAGGTCTGGCACCCGCAAACTCTGGGAAGAAAGGTCAACGAGAGCTTCGTGGCGAGGCCAGGGCGTTGGGTGATCGGTGTTTCAAGGCTGCGGGTAAATTGGATGCTTTGGTCTGTTTGGATGATATGCTCACCACCGAGACACTGCTGGGTCGTCTGGCCAGGCTGCCTAACTCGCAGTCTGTGATGTCCGCGAGAATGCATAGCAGGACCCCGTCGCCTGTGCCTTCGAACGCCACCGCCGCGTCAGGCGTGCCGTTTGGCAGTGCCAGTGCGTCGAATGGGAGAGGTTCAACTCCGCCTAATGGGCAGAGTGGATCGACGAACTCGGGGGATTCAGGAAGGGGTGCTGGCCCCGTTGGAGTGGCATAGCTGGGGATTATGGTGTCGTGGTACGGGCAGCATATGGGCTGCAATGGACTTTTCGCCTGGTTTGACCCTGGTAGGCCAATGCGTTTCGAACTCGGACCGGGACAGGACGGCGATGGCTAGGGGTTGATAGTAGAAGTTGCATTAGCAGACAGGGATAGATTAGATAGGCGACGAATTGAATTCATTTCGAATCTCGAAGTCTCACATGAGGTTGTCCATTCATCTCCAGTGATTTTTGGACCGTATCGTTCGAATCTCTCACACACTGTCCCTCGGTCTTCCATCTCCTGCTCTATCTTCTTCTTACAGCGCCCGCGCCGAGCCTGCTTTGATTCTCTTCCTTCCACTTGCAACCTTTCTCAAGATTGGGGAGCCTGCACATCCATACCAGCCGCTGACGCATCAGCATTAGCGTCAGGCCCAACAACAGCACAGAACCTGCGTCTCTTGCTCAGGACATATGTAGCGTATTAACAATGAATGAAGCCTCGCCAAACATTACTCTCAAGCTCAGGAGCTGGGACTGCATTCAATTCCAATGTATTCCGAATGGTGGCGGTCCTCGACCATGTGCCACGACCGATTGACCGATCGAACCGGCCAAAGTTTCATACCGATTTGAGATTTGTGCATGACTTACAAGTAACCCTGTTTCCTTGATCCAATTTGACCCCACTTCTTTGCTGTCGTGTCCAGGACAAACAGGTAGGATCACAAAACGAAGACCTCAATCGTTGGCTGCCATCTGCTGATGTAACACTGTATGTAGTAAAGACACAACGAAGTCACACAAACCAACCATTCGATCCTCGCTTGCTTGATACCAGCCCTGTCCACAGCCAAAGGGCCACATCAAACGCAGGCATCACACGCCCAAAACCCAAGCCACTTCATTGCGGGGGCGCGACAAGCTTGCTCTTCTCCAATACAGGCTGGATCAGCGCGGCGATCCACTCATACGAAGTGAACAAAATGCCGCCGGCAAGCACAGTCCGGCCCAGCCGCATCGTACTTCCCCTCCACAGACCCTTGACACCATAGTCCTTGATGACACTGGTGAAGGCCTCTACGACGCCGGCGCCCTTGACACTCTGGGCGCGGGTCTTTAGCGTGTCGAAGGGTTGCGTGGCAAACACCACAATCGTGCCTGCAACCGCACCGTTTCCGAACGTCGTCGCCGTCGTCTGCGGAATGTTGCGCAGTCGCTCCCAATCCTTGAGGATGTTGTACGTGCCCAACCGGACGGCCGTGGTCGAGGCTTGTTTCAGGGTCGTCGTCACGTACCCTCTGTACAGGGCGCGTACAAGGCCGTGTTCCTGGATCAATGTCTTGGTAGCATGCCAGGGCGACCGGAATCGCTTGTCGTGTCGTGCATCGTCAATCAAGGCCGTTTTGATCCGTTCCGTCGGCGTCACGGCGAACGTGCTCGCCACGACCCCGGCTGTGATACCGGCCATAAGGTTCCGTAGGGGTGAAAGTGTGCCGGTCTCAGGGTCCTTGAAGGCAAGCTTGATGCTGTCGAACGAGATGAACCGGATGGCATCCTTGGCTACCGTGCCTGCCACGAGTGTTTCGCATCCTTTGTACAGTGCTCGTGGCCCTTCGTTGGCAATCACCTGTCTGATCACTTTGAAGGGGTTGCGGGTCGGGCTGTCTTCGTGTAGTTGGACGCGCGTCTTGGCGAATTCGAATGCTGTGTGACAAGAAGGAAATTGTTAGCGTGCTGTTGTAAAGAACATGGAGCGAGGAACTGTTGGGGTCGGTGAACGGGAGATTGGGGAGGGTTGTAGAACGGTTTCGGCCCGGCCTGATGTGCGGCAGATTGGAAGCCCGAAGCTTAGTATCGAAATCACGACTTCACAACAGCCTCAGCACAAAGCTTGAATATTCCAGTGCCATCACCTTCAGGGATGTCCTCAGCTCAAAGCTCTGGTCCCTCCAGTAGCATCACTTCCAGTATGACTTTCCTCACGCAGCTCAGATCTTCCCGCAGTCACTGCATCCGCAATGATGCCGCAATTGAGCAGCATATGGTATAACTCCGGCCATACAGAAGGTCCGACTGGGTCTCCTCGGCAACTATAAAAAAGGACGGAAATCATAGTACATGGAGCTTACTTACGATATGTGATTGTCGCCTCAACACCTCCAGCTGCACCTCCTGCTATCAGCGACACCAAAGGTGATTTCGGCGCGCCCTGATATTCGTGGCTGTGGGTTAGTTCCAGGTCCGTATATGGGGCGGCGAAGGTCGCCGACAAAACTCCATTAGGGGCGGTAGGAAGCTCACATCGCTGGAAACCATCCTGCACCGAAGCCAACAAACTCAGGCACCTCGCTCAGGTGCAACAACGCTTTCAAACGATAGGTCACAGAATCAACTGGATCTGTAAGTCTTTGATTGAGAAAGAGAATGTCAACAAAACGGTGAATGCTAATGCAGCAATTAGGAACGGAGCATAAAGAATGCTGGGTCGTCGAGGTCGGCGACGTCAAAAAGGGCCAGTTCGCTTCGCGATCGCCCGATGTCGGGTGCAATGGCCGATGGGTGCGTCTTATTATTGGTTGATGGGGCGAGGCTTGAGTGCCTCGGATCTCCTCGGTCTAACGGCCCAGCCTTTCCGGCTGAGGCTGGCAGCCTTGTCCACGCCAGACCTTCCTTGTCTGGTTCCGCACTTTTGTGTTCTCCTGGTCAACAACGAGGTCTCGGTTCATCCTCGTCATTGTCACCAGCCTCAAACATGATTTATCTCCTCAAGAACCATGCTGAAGTGGTGCTGGATCAATGTGCCGCTCTCTTTTGAACATTGTCAGATGCGATGCGGCCCAGGGGTTCAGAATAAGGAGAGAGAAGACCTCGTGGGTTGTGAAATGGCTCACAAGCGAAATACAGTTGAAGAACTCACAGCTGCAGATCCACGGGCTCGTTGCGGCTCTAGTTGCAATCTGTGTGGCCATACTAACCCCAGCCTGACAAGCTGTTGGAATAAGTCATTCCAGTCGTTGACCGAACTCGCCGAACTTTTAGCGCAGCACTATCTTGAAGGATACCGAAACACGAATTGTCTAATGAACAGTCAGCAATATCTTCGTGCTATGGCGGTGTCTGCTAATCCACTCGTTCCGCCTTCTTAGGTGACCATTGTCCCACGTCTGTCGCACTAGGGGGAATACCTGTTGTCTAGGACAATCGCGTCTTGGTTCGTGCTCTGTCACATAGTGACCGAGTTTTCATTGCCAGACTGGATTTCACTGATGGCCAATGAGTATCGTGTGATGTGCTTCTGGGTCGAGGCAGTAATCCATCCAGAACAACCCGTCAGTCGATTTCGACTCGAACTTGAGCCGGCAGCCACTTGTCTCCATGTAGTTTTCCATGTAGTTTGATCCGCGATTGTGGGGGTCAAAGGGAGGCGCAGGCAGGGATGACAGAACTATGTTCCCTACGTACGGTAGACACGGCAGTCGTGTAGTTAGAACTATGCTTGGCTATCAAGTGCTCGGCCACTTCGACATGCTTACCAGTTCTCGCCTGTTCAAGTCCACAACACCTCGGCTTTCCACATGCTCGGTAGGTCGCGAGTATTCTCCGAGACCATTTCGTGGTCGTCTCGCGTGTAGTGTTAGAGAAGCTGGCAAATGATCAAGGTGGCCTGGTCCATGGAAAATAACTGGACTGAAGTAAAAGGGATCGCCATGACTCGTGTGCCGGTTCTGGTGGATCTCCAAGGTGTAATGATTACCTGATGCGGATGGACTAACGCGGAAAGAGTGGACCACAACTTTATTTGGATGTCAGGCCGGGCGGTCCCAGATCAACTCAACCAGGTACGCGTTCAGCCGCAACTTTAAGATATGGAAACCTGGCATTCTCGTTCACCATGGAGCCTTCTTATAAAAGGTCACCTATTCTTCGGCCTCAAACATCCTATGGTTTGCTCTTTGAAACTTTAACGGCGCGTCCTCTTATTGGCCAGCAAAGAATCCACACATTACCACTGTCAAAGGTGTCCACACTGGTCAGGACGACGCCGACCGGCCGTACATATTGCCATGTTGACGCGGGCAAAGGAAGCCACATCTCCCGCAAGCTCAGCCGAGGTGCTGCCGGCACAATTACAACACCGCACGAATGAACGGATCGGCACGCTCTTGGTTCAGCATCCAAGATCGCCGCATCGCGATGAAAGGCAAATGCTGTCGCGTCTGGAAGTCCTCCGGACTGGGGTAAAATCTAGCCCTTACCATCCAGGTGTGCTTATCAGTCATGGTTGCTGGCTCTACACGCTTGCTTGCTGGCGTTCGTCGTATCCACCATGGTCAGTACTAGTTCGCCATCGTGGCCATGGTGCGCGAACCCACCATCCACTGTTGGAATCAAAGCTTGCACAATGGCATCGCTTAGTGGAGGGAACCTTTCATGATGGCAGAGGCCAATATTCTCCTGATGGTCCGAGGGGCGGCATCTGCGAGTATTTGGGTCCCCCAGATTTGAGCAAAGTATCAATCACCTTCTGGCGCGCATCAATCGCGAACCTGAAGCCAAAAAGGATAAGACATCAAGCTATTCGCTGCTGAGGCCATCTGTACCAACAGTTCATCAAACCTTCCAGTCCTCGCACTACAGGCTTAGGGTTTGATGACACATCTAACTTTGCAAGAGGAGTTTCTAACAGCCATGGAAAGAGAGTACAAGAGGGCTTCACTCCCCTTCATCACTCCCAGTCTTCTCTTCATCCCTCACATCACTACTCCGGGTGCATACATCAATCTACGGTCAAAGAACACTCGTTTAAATCAGTGACAACAATATTTACTGCAAACATCAATCATCGAGGGACCATCCACTCCTTCACAGACACGAGTTTCTCAGATCAAACTCACAATTTACCTCACAAGACCGCGCTTCCGGTCAAAGCAGCAAATTTACCATCGAACATATCACTTCATTTCAAGACCAGGATTCGGTCAAAGACAGCAATCTTCATTCAAACTTAATTAATTCATCTCAAGGACGGGCTTTCTGGCAAAGACCGCCATCTTCATCAAACACAATCGCTGCACCTCAAAGGCCAAACTACTTTCAAATCATTCAAACATACACGGCACATTTCAAAGCCTACATCCCGGTCAAAGACAGCAATCTTCATTCTATACAAACCTCTTCACACAAACATTACAATCTTTCAACACACAAATCTTCGTCTTTGTACCAAACAGTGGATACAAACAACAAGGTCTTGCCTACAGAAGATCATTCTCAATGGCATACAATACTTTCCAATAACAAAATCTTCATTCAAATATCAGAGCCACCTTCCAAGTCACTCACTTCACTTCAATACCACTTCGCTTCAATCATACTCAATCATACTCAATCAACTACAACGGTCTTTCACCAACCTGTCACCGGAGACAACAAGTCAGCTGAGGCAGAGAATAGCCGTCCTCACAAGTCCTTCGCTTCAACTTTTACCTATCTATCACTGTCATTGCCAATCTCAAATCCCGAGTGACTTACTCTACCCTCTCAAAAGTTCAACGACAACTCAGCCATCTAACGGCGAAGCAAATCGATAGCCGACATCATGCCGAGACCAAGCAAATCGAGGTCTATAGAGGAGTACTCACCAAGCACGTTCATCAAGCTTCCCGAACGAAGGGCATCTTGGGAATACATACCCGAAAACAAACCTCGCAGATGCGAAGCACCAAAGAGACACAGCTGGCCTGTGTTTCTCCCATGTCAAGCTTACGGCCCGGACCAATCTCCCAAAGCCGTTCACGAGAGAAGACGACTCTCGCTACACAGCCACATCACCGACCTCTGCTCGACTCTGACCAATCAATGTGACGAGATTTACGAGAGGCTTGAAGAAATGGACACACGTGCAAGCCAAGACGCCGCTGAGACCTTGATGTCGTTCACCCAGCTGTGTGCTACGATTCGTCTCGAACTCATCACTCTCCGAGGCCACGCGGAAAGGTTTCAGATCCCCAGGCTGTCCAGTTTCTGGGTCCAATGTTGGAAGAACATTTATGCTGTCCGACAATCTCTCAAGGATATAAGGGAAGTACTTCTCGACCTCGAAGCAGATTATCAGGATCGTCTGGTCGACACAAGGGAAGACAATTGGAAGGAAGGAAACGGGTATCATTCCCTAGACCGGCTGGATCCATGGGCCGCAGGATTTCTTGTCCAGAGGGCCGAGAGAATACGGGACAAGTACGCTTCAGTCTTCAGAGGACTGCGGGAAGTCAATCTTTTTGCAACGGAAGGATGTCCGCTTTTGAGCCATCCATTGAAACTACGACGTCTGTGACGTGGAAAAGGGAGTTCGGGGCATTTTCTGATTGCACGTTCTAACACACACAACATTTGATTGGAGGGTGGATGCATTTTACTATCCCTTCTCTTGATGCCACTCAGGAAGGGCATAATTGGCGAGCTAGGACGCTGGTCGGGTACCAATATTGCATTGCATGATATTGCAAGGAAATGAATAATAGATAGTAGAGACAGACATTCTCTCCAAACAAAAGTTCACTTGAAAACCATACTGCCAGCATCTGACTCTCTGCATCTGTATTTGTAGGTTTCGACCGATGCCAAACAACCAGTAGACTCGTCTACACCTGTAGACTTTTAGGATCTTCCTTTTTTCTCTCACTCACTTAGTCGTCACTAATGCCTCACTCCCGTGACTCTAGCCTCGTATCCGCAGTAACGTAGTGATTATCGCCGGTTCTACCGCGTTGTTCCAACGGTCCCATTGGCCGGAGCCCTCCCTAACTTCACTTCGGCGCCAGCAACACACATATATATGTGAGTAGCAGAATTTCTTCCAACAATCACCAAGACCCCCAGTCGGATTCCAAATAATCCGCCCCCCCTCCATGGCCTAGCGGTCAACACCACCGCTAGGCCAACCCCAGGGGCGGATTGAACACACAAAAAGTCGATGACTTTTACGACAACTGGGCGATTCGAACCGTGGTCCTCTGGTGGGAATTCACTTAACAGATCCAGGTCTTGTCTGGGTTTCAAACTGGCACCGGGCCAGCAGGCGTCAAGACCTCGATTCCCTGCAAGTGAGTTTCCACCTACCGAATGACCCCTCCGAACCGAACGGACGAGCGACCGATCTAAGCGACGGAAAAACCCTTCCTTGAAGAAAGGTTTCACTTACCACAGCCCCCATATCAGAGGGGTTTGTGAAAAAGTTTTTGCCCTTTCGACCTTTTTCTGACTTTTTGGGAGTTGGACTTCTGCCTTATATAAGGACATATCGTTTCCATTTTTCTCATGTTGCGTAAGCTGATTATTGCATAAAAGGAAAGGGGAGGTCTGAAAGAACGCTGTGAGTAAGTGGTGCTAAGTTCATTTTATTGATTGTAGCAATCAAACACCATGTGTCATGATCCATGAACAGGTTTGGCTGCTTACACTCACTACCTACCTTCGCTTATAGTATTGTACAGGTATCATGCATACCTAGGAGTGTTTGGCTTCCATGGCATGCATGCACGAAATGGCTAGTTGGTCTTCGAGGTGGACACACATATGCGCAGCTCAGCTGTATCAGATCTGAAGGCCTCGAAGTCCCGTGACTACCTTCTCTCTTTTCCTGGGTTCCTGGCATCCTGGTGGTTACACAAACTTCAAATCATTGGTATGGTTAATGGAATAGCTTGCGCTTCGGCGAGTATGGAATCAATATCACGCAATGGTGCATTCGCTCCCCCTTGCGTGTACCATGCAGGTAGACCGTTCCCATCTAAAGCAGGTCCAGTCCACTGGTGGGCCAGACTGGGGTACATAGGTAGCGACCCCGATGTCGACGCCGCGACAACCCCTCCGTCAGGGACCGTGGAGGGCCCGAGACCGCCGCCAGAAACAAGTCGATCGATTGTCGCTACACGTTCCAAACCCATGAGGCTGCATTTGCACGGGCAGGGTGTCGAGGCCAGGATCTGGTCGACGTCAAAAGAGACGGTGTGCTCGAGCTGCTGGATGACCATCTTGATGATGCTCAAGGACCGAGCCGCAGGGTTGTCGGTGCAACGCAAGCCGGCAAGAAGTCTGATTCCGAGTTCGCCTTTTTTCCAGGCTTCGCTGGGTCTGGAGGTGCCATTGTGAGCCGCCACCAGAAACATGAGGCAGACCACAGCTAAGAACAATGTATAAGTCGTGGTCCATGACCCCGGACTCAGCAGGCCTCGTTGATGCATGGCATCGGTACGGCTTATCGTCGTGGCAGCAATCTTGAGGCATGTAAGTGCATGCTGCGATTGAATTCTGGTGATTGGTGAACCGTTGGCCATCGGTATCAGATAATGCAAGAACGGTATATTTAGCGTCAACTGGCCAAAGTAGAACGCCATTTCGAGTTCGTATCTGACACTAGTTTTGCGTTGAGCAGCAGTTCCAGTAGGGTACAGGGCTGGACAATTCTTACATGACTGAGATGTCTGGCTCCAGCGGGATTGTTGATAAACCAGACATAGCATTTGCCCATTTCTTGAACTTCTGTTCAACGTCATCGAGTGCTTTGACATTGACACACTCTGTGTGGGCTCCCCACTGGGTCTTCTTCTTTCGGGTCTTTTTGGCCGAAAAGACATTTCGACGGGCGGATGAAGTAAGAGCCAGAATCTGAAAGTGTCTGGATGCAGCAACGGTAGTATCAATACCTCTCAGAGTAGATGTCGTTGATTCCCGAGTTGTGAAGGAAACTGGACACCGCACCTTTTCCATGGCTCCTGGATCTACAGAGTCATGGTTCATCGTCGGTGGTATATCCAGGACGAGACTGACAAGCATGTCGAGTTGCAACACCCCGAGGAGAACTCGACTCCTCGTGCTTCGCTGCGCCTGAGTATATAACAACTTGTGGTCATCCTTGTGCAAACCAAGCCTCCAGGCTAAGGAGCATGCCATGCCCAGGTAAGTGTGAGCAGCTGTCAAACTCGACGTCGAAAGTAGGAAAACTACCAGACACAATATTGTCTGCAGTGATATGAGGTCACTGCACTGGCCGAGATCGACATCTCTGCTGGCAAGCTGGAAATTCTTCAAGCTTTTTATGCTGTGAGTAGACAAACACAATGTAACCTGCAGGGCGGCTGGCACTTACGCTTCAGTGTCGGTGAACTGACACCCGTGACTATTGCGAGACTCGATGTCGAGGTGGAAGCCCAAGGCTAAAACTGAGTGGAACAATGGCATGAACCGACCAGTGGAGGGGCTAGCCCAAAGCAGGGGCTCGCTGTAGAGACGACGGACCATATCTCTAAAGTCTGATTCATGAAGAAACTGGATCAGGGCATGATATTTTGTGAAAACCGCATCAAGAAGTCTGAGCGCGGTAGTTTGATTGGGATGGCTGGGTGGGTGAGTATGTTGCAGGGGAAGCACGCCTGGTGACGGGGCAGGCTTGTCAAAAAGATTGTTAACGACTTCTTGAGCTTCAGTGACAAATGAATCATCGTCGATCAGCTTCCGGAAGAGCTCGAGAGTGCGCAGAATGAATGAAGCCCCGGAGCCGGGCCCATAGAAGTTAGATTTCTGCGACCTAGTAACGATGATATTCCCAGACGGAGTCAGCATACTGGTCAGTTGGGGCTGCCTCGCGTCCTCATCAGAGCTGGACCAGCAATTTTCGGATTCGACAATCGAAAGATCAAGTGTCTGGAGCAGCCCAGTGGTATCGGAGTCCGCAAGTCCTCCATTATTGTTCTGCAATCTTTCGAGTGCGGCACGTAGGTTCCTCAATTTAACTTCCAGACTGCGAATCCTCTGAGTTGGTTTATCTCGTCCTTGACCAGATGAGTAGCAGCATTCTTTGGGAGTCAGCGCACTGTTTCTCAGAGCCGGCGGGATGGGAGAAGCTGTGTAGGCCACTTGGATTGAATTTCTTACCGTTGCGCGAGATCGTGCAAGCGCTGCATGGCTGCGAGCCACTACACTTGATCTTCCGAAGTCGACACTCATCGCATGCACGTGGGCCTCGTCTATGGTAGCGTTTCTTGTGGACTTTGTCCGACTGGTCGGACTGGGAGTGTCCGGCCATGAAAGAAAGCCGACGCAGTGTGCCATGCCTTAGACGAAGAGCGGAGGAGAAAATCGAGAGAAGATGCGAATCTCCATTCTCAGAGAGCCACCCTGTTTCAGGCACTATGATCCAGGTAGGGGCTACCTGAGCGTACCAGTAGATGTTGTAATACTAGGTAAGGTAGGTACAAAGATGATGTACAGTGTAGAACATTACCTACTAGGTAGGTACCTGTAGGTATGGCAATGTAGACTTTGAAGATGCCAAGCCCGGGAAGACGGAGCTCGGCATTGAAGCACGCGGCCTGCCAAGCTCAGACCATCCCGCCTGGGCTCAGAACCGACGTCGAACTGGGGTCCGACGAGTCCGACGATTTCTACAATCCACCTTCGATATGTCCGCCGTGATGGATGATTATATGTATCCTTAAGCCCATCGTCCTGTCGTAAGTCTTGTGTCATCCTTGGGTATCCTCGCCCGATTCTCGCAAAAGTTTCCAGACCTCGAGTCTTATGGTAAGTTTCCAATTGGTATTTCTGGGGCCGCCACCATCATGTCCCCACCGTACATCGATGCTTATGGGGTCCTTCAGTTCCTCCCGGTAAGACGGAGCTTGGCCGCTGTCTTGGCTTGATCATTCTTCGATAAGGTGAGCGATCCGCGCAAGCCAAGCATCCGCTTCAGCGCCATTTGAACGTAGACCATAGCGTCTCCTGTCCAATTGAGTGCCCAGGTTGTCGCACGTCGTGTCCATGAACGTCGCAATGTCCCTCAATTCTCTGTTGCCCCCCGCTGGCGTTGGCCGTCTAGGACTTGCCCTGACTTTGGAGTCCTGCGTGTCTCAACGCAATATCGAGATGGCACATCTTGAGGAAAATCTGGCTGCTTGGCCAAGATGGTCGCCGAGGTATTTAAGAAGGCAGCCTGCGTCTACTTTTGGTCGAAGATACTGCTGCACAATCCTCGACACCGGCTAAAATTCTTCTACGGTGACCTCAATCACCATGAAGGACAATGCCACAGAACAGTACAGTCAGCCACTGAGCGAGCCAGCGCATGCTCTTGAACGAGAGGCTGTTGTCACACAACTGAAAGCCGACCCAAGGCAGGGGCTTTCGAGTGCCGAAGCGAAATCCCGGTTGGAGCAGTATGGAAAGAATGAGTTGGATGATGGCCCAGGCGTCCAGCCGTTCAAGATATTGCTTCGACAAGTGGCCAATGCCATGATGTTGGTAAGTTGTAACCATCGACGTTCTCATCAAACAGCGATTTGCGATGCTAGCCCTGCGTGTCATCAGATGCTGATCCTTGAGGTGTAGGTTCTCATCATGGCCATGGTTGTCTCCTTTGCCATCAAATCATGGATCGAAGGCGGTGTTGTTTGTGGCGTCATCATCCTCAACATTGTTGTTGGGTTCTTCCAAGAATTCAACGCCGAGAAGACCATGGACTCGTTGCGTTCCTTGAGTTCCCCTACAGCGAACGTAGTCCGCAACGGAGAAACTGTCAACATTCCAACAGCCGAGTTGGTCCCTGGAGACCTGGTGGAGCTGAAACTGGGTGATACAGTGCCTGCGGACATTAGGTAATGCTCTGCCCTGAACCAAATTTTAAGGCGTTCTTCTGGCTAATTTTTCATCCAGGCTATTGGAATCGCTCAACTTTGAAGTCGACGAAGCCCTTCTGACGGGAGAATCCTTACCTGTTGCAAAGGATGAAGAAGCTATATTTGACGCGGAAACGGGACCAGGCGATCGTCTCAACGTGGCCTACTCCTCGTCAACAGTCACAAAGGGCCGCGCACGAGGTGTCGTATACGCTACCGGGATGCATACTGAAATTGGTGCTATTGCCGCGGCTCTGCGCAAAGGGAGCTCCAAGGTCAGGCCTGTCAAGCACCGCCCAGATGGCTCAGTGAACCCGTTCCGTTACGCTGAGTCCTGGTCGCTTACCTTCGCCGACGCCGTCGGCCGATTTCTCGGTGTCAACGTGGGAACTCCCCTGCAGCGCAAGCTTTCTCGACTTGCAATACTCCTTTTCGGCATCGCAATCGTCTGTGCCATTATTGTCGAGGCAGCCAACAACTTCTCCAGCAACAATGAAGTCATCATCTACGCCGTCGCAACTGGCCTGTCAATGATTCCTGCCTCTTTGATCGTGGTGTTGACCATCACCATGGCGGTGGGCACGAAAAGAATGGTGAAGCGCAATGTCATTGTTCGCAAGATGGACGCCCTGGAGGCATTGGGCGGCGTGACCGACATCTGCTCAGACAAGACAGGTACCCTCACTCAAGGCAAGATGGTGGCCCGGAAGTGTTGGATCCCTGCCCGAGGCGTCTATTCGATTGGAACGTCTAACGAACCATTCAACCCTACAGTCGGTGACCTCGTCCATACCCCGAAGGCACCTGAACATCATGACTCATCTGAGGAGGATGGCACCCCGTTGGCTTATGACGATGCGGTCGCGGAAAATCCGCATCTGACTTCATTCTTGTGGATTGCCTCACTTGCCAACCTGGCGCACGTGTACAAGAGCAAAGAAGATGTGTGGCTCGCGCGCGGAGACCCGACCGAGATTGCCCTGCAGGTGTTTGCGTCGCGGTTCGATTTCAACCGGCACAAGTTCCTGGAAGGACCGAACCCACGGTTCAAGCAAGTCAGCGAATACCCATTCGATTCCACGGTGAAGCGAATGTCCGTCATTTTCGAAGACACCGAGTCAGGTGAACAATGGGTCTACACTAAGGGTGCGGTGGAACGAATCCTTGATTCGTGCGTCAGTGTCCATTGGTCTCCTGACGACGAGTCTGAAGTCGAACTAGACGATCACAAGAAACAGGTCATTTTGGCGAGAATGGAGGCGCTGGCGAGTGAAGGTCTACGTGTGCTGGCGCTTGCAAGCCGGTATTATGACCCACGCAGCGGAAGGAGAGCGAGCCGGGACGGACCACCACCTCGCGAGCACGTGGAAACCGGTCTTGTGTTCCGCGGACTCATTGGGCTCTACGATCCGCCTCGCCCAGAGTCGGCCGATGCAGTAAAGCACTGCCACCGGGCAGGTATCAAGGTACACATGCTGACCGGCGATCACCCTGGGACTGCCCGCGCCATTGCGATTCAGGTGGGCATTCTGCCGGACATGAACAAGGTCAGCGCGCCGGTGGCCCAAGCCATGGTCATGACGGCGGCCGAGTTCGATCGCCATACCGACGAACAGCTGGACCAGCTTCCAGAACTGCCGCTGGTGATTGCGCGGTGTGCGCCCAACACAAAGGTGCGAATGATTGAAGCTCTCCGTCGACGCAAGGCGTTCATGGCAATGGTGAGTAACCTATCTAGTTCTTCCCAACTTACCAAATTTAATGAATGGCGCTGGCCGTCTTGAGGATGTTCATTGACAGCAGCCTGCTAACAAATCCCACCAGACCGGCGACGGCGTCAACGATTCTCCATCCCTGAAAATTGCGGACGTCGGCATCGCCATGGGCCAGGCCGGGTCTGACGTCGCCAAAGACGCATCGGACATCGTACTGACAGACGACAACTTTGCATCGATCCTCAACGCAATCGAAGAAGGACGACGCATGTTTGACAACATCAAGAAATTCGTCCTTCACTTGCTCGCCGAGAACATCGCACAAGCATGCACGCTGCTCATTGGTCTGGCGTTCAAGGACTCGACGAACCTATCTGTGTTCCCCTTGGCGCCCGTCGAGATTCTGTGGGTCATCATGATCACGTCTGGCATGCCGGATATGGGACTCGGGATGGAAGTCGCGGCGCCGGATATTCTGGAGCGCCCGCCACAGAACCTGGAACGCGGCGTGTTTACGCTCGAAGTCATGCTTGACATGTTAGTCTATGGACTTTGGATGAGCGCGCTATGCCTGAGTTCGTTCTTGCTTGTCGTGTACGGGTTCGGCGACGGGAATTTAGGATCAGGTTGCAACGACTCATACTCTGCGCAGTGCGACACGGTCTTCCGCGCCCGCGCCACCACCTTTGTGAGTTTGACTTGGTTCGCCCTGTTTCTGGCCTGGGAAATGGTCGACATGCGCCGCAGTTTCTTCCGGATGCAGCCCGGCAGCAAGCGCTATTTCACGCAGTGGATGTATGATGTGTGGCGCAACAAGTTTTTGTGCTGGTCCATCATCGCAGGGTTCGTCACTATCTTCCCGACCCTGTATATCCCTGTCCTCAACCACGATGTCTTCAAACACACGGGTATCTCGTGGGAATGGGGCATTGTGTTTGTGGAAGCATTTCTGTTCTTCCTTGGCGCCGAGGCGTGGAAATGGGCGAAGCGGGTCTATTTGCGTCGGAGGGCGCGGCGCATGCATGAGACCCCGGATGATTTGGAGAGAAGGGCGTTCGGTACCTTTTTGACTTTGGACAGCAATGAGTCTTGGAGCGGGAGTGAGCGCGTGCAAGAGAAGGGAGAAGTTGGAAAATCGGGATGATGGCCACGTTTCTGTGTCCTGATGTAGACCGTGGAATGACCTTATGGCATGAATGTACATGGATATACATAGATACTAGGTATAAATGATAGAGTATATAGACACTGTACCTCAATAGTGGAATCGTCGTGGTTTTAGCAGACCCAGATCGATCCGAGTACTAGCTCGTGATAACATTATACGTCCAAGTGCGTTCGCTGCCCGCCGCCTTCGGGTTTCCCTGAATTGAACACATACATCATCGGTTTTATGTGACACAACACAAACATCAATCAGGGTAGGCAGTCTCACAAATGTCACCTTTCACACTGGCACCTGGCAGACAAATGGCATGTTCGTGATACCTCCTAGTCTGTCAAACGATCGAGTGACATGGCTGGCGCATCTTCGTGATTTTCCTTTCAGTCGTTGCGCTGACTGGCAGTCCTTCATTCCACAATCATCACGATGGCTCCTCCTTAAACTTGACAGTCTTACAACAAGTCTCACCATCCCTGTGCTCATGGTACCTGCAAGAATTCCCCTCGGTGGGATCATCAAACAGCGAGCCACCCACGCCATCCTTGATCGCATTGATGACATCGACAGCAAACTCTGGGGAAACAGCAAAGCAATCCCTATACGCCGACGCATCTCTCTCGGACCCCGGATCCATAATCTGTCTCGCGGCAATCTTGCTGACCAGTTTCCGAAACGGAGACGACGGTAACGTCTTTTCATAAATCGGCTTCATTTCTTCGGGCCCCGGAACCAATCCGGCTTCATGACATCCTCGTCGAAACTGATCGATCGCCTGGTTCTTGAGTTCTTGCAACCCGAGGCGCTCGCATAACAGATATAACTTCTGACACCGAAACGCATAGTCCCATTTAATATCCTTGGGCATCCAAGACACATCGTCGATTTTACCCTGGTAGAGCCATTTGACTAGTAATTCGAAAGCTTGGGGATCTTCGTCGCGTAGTTCTAGTTTCCCGTCCTTCACCATTCTCCTGTGATGGTTATCACCATTGATGGCTAACGAATCGTCAAAAAACGGCGGCGCATGATGAGCCAGTAGATTCTGATGTAGCGACCAGCATCGTCCTTCGGGGCCCACGAAAATGGTCAACAGTGGTCCGGACAGTAACCTTTTTGCGCCCGGCGCACCACCCGACATCGTCAGCGCGGGAATCCAGCTTGGAAAACAAACAAAAGTCGCTCTCGCTCTCACTCTCGCTCGCAGATAGATAGATATCAAGATAGTAGATAAAAACTTACTCCGCGAACTTTGTGGCGGAGGAGTCTCCTATGTTTTCTGGCGGCATGTCAGGAACAGAAAGAACCGTCCGGTCAGAGAGCGTCAATCCTGCCGGCCGGCGAGAAGTGTGGTGGATGTTGAGCAGGGTTCAAGTTTCGCATCGGCGGAAGAAGCAGAAACCGTAGATCAATCCTCAGTCTTGGTTGGGATCATTCGGTCGAGGAGGCCACCAGGGGGAACGTCCCATGCGACATTGCGCGAGCTTGTGCCGGGCATGAGAGTGGAATGTAGGTAGGACGGTTCGGTTCAACCGCTCTGACATGAAACTGCGCTGTGCTCTTCGCTGGTCAAGGCAAGTAAATGTGACGACGGATATTAATTAGTATTACCTAGCACCACTCATACTATAGGTAGGACTACTAGTAGGTAGGATGCGAGGCGGCACGCGCGCTAATGTTTAGGGCCCTCCGATACTACCCGCCGCCCTAACTGCCCCATCTGTGTGGGTGGGTGTGCAGCGCTAAACGCGGAGTTTGTACAGAGCAACGTATGACCTCGGTGGCCGGGAGAGGAGACCATAGTATTCCTTTTACTTTATTTTTACTTCTACCACCAAATCGCCAAAGTCAGTGGATCAAACTCTAATGATTACTTCGTTTCTAGCTTTAATAAGAAGGCCGCCTCGGGCCAGAATGACCTCGTTCTAGACCTCGTAGCCGCCTCAGCGCCGCCGGCCCCGACCTCCATTGGCATCATGAATGTTGTCCAGCACTGTCCCGGTAGGTCTGGGTTGCATAGCCGCGCATGATTTTCCTTGCCGTGACATCACAGGATCTATTTGAAAGTGCGTGATGGAAGAGTACCGTGCTCCCGTTGCCATGAGGGCAGACCTCCTTGCTTGCGCTTCCCTACGCACTTTCATGGTCGCACACCGTGGTCGCCGCCGAGTGAGTATGGGCCTTTGTAGTTCATCTGCAGGTCCATCAGCCTCTCGGGATGTTCGGCGTGTTCCCGGTACAGTTTGCGATCCGTGTAAAACGTCACTTTCCGGGTTGGGTTTTCTGAGCATTTGCTGCTGCTCTGCCACGGATCACCTTCTGCCGGTATTCGTCCAGTAAGGAGCACAGTGATGGCAACCGTTTCTGGGCACCGTAGTCAAGGATGTTCTTGATCACTCGGAAAAGAGATCGGATTCTGACTGGGTCCCGCAGAGAATAAATGGATAATTCTTCGGTATGAAAGCTATATTGGCCACCTCCAGCCTGAGCTTTGAGCCAATGTACGTTTATCGCGGCGGTTCGATGGTCCATGCTGATCGAGAAGTATCGTGGCATATCGCAGTCCCAAGTTTTCGATGCGCAACGGCGGTGTATCAAATCCATCTGACCATTCAGAGCGATAGCTCCAGCACCAGCGGCGTGGTTCTTTGCGACGTAGTGGGTTCCATTGTAAGCCTGGGACTTGAACTCTACCTGCAGAAAAGGAAACCGAACCTTCTGATCTGGAGCTGCATAGTTTCCACCGGATTGGTCGTCGGTGAGAAGGCCAATTGTATCGAGTTGGTTGCGGGTGAAGGCTGCCTCAGAATATCCGAAAACTAGGTCTGGTTTTGGTTGAGGTAAGGGGAGCGGGTCGTGGAGGACAGACGATCTGAGCGGAACAGGGACAGAATTTAACCACTGTTGACCACAATTCATTGCTAGCCTCTTGTCGGGGATTCTGAACATAGCGGGAATGATGATCGGCGCAAGCTGGTGCATGATGATGGCCTCAGCTGCATCCTGAAGTCCACGGGACATGTCTATCACCTTTTGGACAGTAGCATCGTTTAGGTCAGGATCTTGTCGAGCGCGTGTCATTATGTTCCATGCTCGCCGTGTCAAGCCCTGGGGTGCATTCTCACGCTCAATGAAGATGTCGCGGAACGATAATGACTGGCGGTAATCGGTGTCGTGAACACTTGCAGTAGATTTCTCGGAATTTGTGGACGCCGATGTCGTGCTTTCGGAACTCTTCTCCGAGGATGGAGGGACGGATGGAGGCTTGCAAGACATATCGGCAGATCTGTCTGCTAGTCGGGTAACTTGAATTTCGATCTCGGTCGACGATTTGCCAGAACAGGAGCACTCGTCCAACCAATCCTCAATGAAGCTCTCTTTGTCTGTTTCCGTTGTTGCCTGGGTCTGTGGCGCGAGTGCGTGTCCAGGATGTTTCGCTTTCAAGTTGTAGTCTGAGTTCAGGTCATCTTTATACACGCGATCTCGCTGTTTCACTGCTTGAATTAGCACTGTGATTCACTGAGGTGAAGCAGTTGACCGACTGCTATTGTGTGCTCCTGGGTCCGCCGGTGAAGCCATATGGCGACTTTGGTCACTCCTTGCCGGAGCACTGCCAGTGGTGTCACTCCACTGCCTGTTAAATCCAGGAGATGACCTCGTTGGGGATGATATATCTATATTCAAAACAATACATTAACGAGATTTGTGCCTTTATTCAGAAACTGGTCTCAACTTAGAAAATATTGAAATGTAGTAAAAATGCAAGCTTAATTTATGAAAAACTCTTATTGAAGGGAAAATGTTTTATTGTATCTAAATTGTCAAACAAATAGATCTATTCATGTTTGTTTTTTGGCCATCCCTTTGCCGTCCGCTATTGTTTCACACCGTCGGTCTCCAGCAACCACGCGCTCTTGCGATAGGCCTTGGAATTTACGTGAGTGATCTTTCCTTCGCAGGCGGCGGGTGGACGCCAAAAATGCCTGTAGAACCACCGATTTGTCTCTGACGACCGAGAGCAAGATACCTCAGTACTACTCATAATGTGCTGGTACCCAATGCTTGCAGTGGTGTTGAATGTACATAGTACAGCATTGTAGGGCGGGCCCCCTTCGGCCCCATGACGTACTAGGTACACAGTAGTGGCTCCGACGCGTCACTCATGCCAGAGCGATCAACGTGCTCAACGCGTGCTGTGGGGAATCCGCGTCGCGTGTTGCCGGGCGCACTTCAAGTTGGATTAATCGATCTCATGCGAAACTTTCAATACACACTCCCCTGCGGTGGCGCATCGAACAGACGATACAAACGAGTTCAGCATCTTTGCAGAGACAAGTGCCAAGTGACAAGCCTGCGGTAGCCACCGTTCATCATTCCTGACCAGCTCAATTGACTTCGGAAGCCCATCCCAGCGCATCGGATATGATGCTGAGGCAACCGTGATTATCCTGCACCACAGGTGGCTATAGACAGTTCCTCGCCCGTCCCGAGGGATTCGAATTTCACAGCAGTCGTTCTGCAGTTCTTCTCCAGCATGCCGTTCTCCTCGTCCCCCGTTCTTTATCCCGCAAGCTCATCTCCTCCCCCTGCGCTCCCGATCAAGAAGAAGCGGAGACTATTTCAGCCGTTTCCAGTTGAGCCTCCGGTCAAAAAGCCCAGGATAGTGGGAGGATTTCTGGAAGACAGTGATGAGGAGGACAGCGCCGATGTCAACAAGCTGGGGGACATTGGGCGCGATGAGGCCTCCAAAGAACCAACTTTGCCCACGATTCAGGAACACATAGGCGAAACACTTCGGGCGGACAACAATGGCGCGCAGGCACAACAGCCTTCTGAATCCACCCTCCCACCTCTTTCGCGAACACTCCTTCGAAAGATCTCTACCCGAACCGTGAGGATATGCACGACTTCAGGATCTTCACTACACATTCCGCCGAGGACAAAGTCAGAGGCTCTGTCCTACGAACAAATCATTGCTCAGCGCTCGGTATCTGCGCCTAATCGCGCCAAAAGATCATACTATGGTGTCGACATACACAAACTCGTGGACGAGGCCAATACGCAGCGCCAACTCCAAGAGTTTGAGAAGCAGAGAAGAGCCGAGGAACTGGCTAAACAGCCAGCAGAGCAGGTACAAGAGGATCACGGGAGTGCAAACTTGAAAACAACAAGACATCAAATGTGGACTGAAAAGTATCGCGCGAAGAAATTCACCGAACTTGTAGGAGATGAACGCACGCATCGTTCAATCCTTCGGTGGCTGAAATCTTGGGATGAATTGGTCTTTCCGGGAAGCTCAAAACCAAAGACCCTTCGGATCAGGGACGAGAACGAACTGTCTCACCAACAGCACAAAAAGATCCTCTTGCTAACTGGACCTCCTGGACTTGGGAAAACAACGCTTGCACATGTGTGTGCGAAACAAGCTGGATACGAAGTACTGGAGATCAATGCAAGCGATGACAGAAGTCGCGATGTGGTCAAGGGGAGGATCAAGGACGCCTTGGCAACTGAAACTGTGCGTGGGATCCAAGAACATGGCAAGGCAAGACGGAGTGGACGTCCTGTCTGCGTTGTAGTCGACGAGGTCGATGGCGTTACTACCGGTTCTAGTTCGGCTGGTGGCGAAGGCGGCTTCATCAAAGCCCTGATTGACCTCGTTCAGCTTGATCAGCGGAATTCCACGAGTGCTACGCATGACAACCAAAAACTCCGAAAGAAGAAGGGCGACCGGTTCCGAATGTTACGGCCGTTGATCCTGGTGTGCAACGACGTGTATGCGCCCTCACTTCGACCATTGCGGACCAGTTCCCTTGCAGAAATCATCCATGTTCGAAAAGCGCCCATTGAAAAGGTGATTGCCCGGATGAAAACGATATTTGAGAAGGAGCACATACCTTGCGACACCGATGCCGTGCGAAGATTGTGTGAGAGTGTTTGGGGTCTAGCAATGCGCAAACAACGAGTCCCCGGATCGCGTGGTTCTGGAGAGGGTGACATCCGTGGTGTTCTGGTACAGGGAGAATGGATCGCACACAAACTTCGAGATCGCGATGCGTGTCCCAGATTGACAAGACAATGGCTGGAGCCGCACCTTGGAGATGCACAAGGTTGCCAAGGCGCCCTCGGACGTGGTGGGGTTCGCGAAGTTGTTGAACGGGTGTTTATCGAAGGCGCTGGCCTGCCAAATCTGTCTACCATTCTTTCCACTGATGATATGAGGCTTGTTGCCGAGTCAAGCAGCAGTGGAATTGGAATTTCAGATCTGCGCAAGCGAGCTGCCATCCGAGCACTGCGAGAGATGATAGATACATGTGGCGACCATGACCGAGTTGTCACGGACTGTTTCGCAACGTATCCGACCCAGCCATTTCAGGACGACATTCAACTTTCGAAACCCAATGCAAGTTACGACTGGCTTCATTTCCACGATTGCCTGTCAAGTCGAGTTTTTTCGGGCCAAGAGTGGGAGCTGGCACCGTACTTGAGTACCAGTGCATGTGGGTTTCATGACCTTTTCGCGGCAGTTGACAAGGGATCCGCGACATGGAATGAAGAGAAGATAGAAGAAGACGAGGTCGACCCGCACCCTTTCAGTGGCCCCAGGGCTGATTTTGCTGCTTATGAGGCAGAGAAACAGAACCGAACCTTGCTCACTGAATTGCAGTCAAAGTTTTCGGGTCCTCTGTTGAGACTGTTCCCCTGCATTGACACCATAGCCACTGAACTTTTGCCGAATGTGGGCAAAATGCTTGCACCAGATGTCAAGCCTGTCGTCATTGGTGGCTCAGGGGGCTCCTCTAGCGTTGCAAGTGTACGGAAAGACACTGAGAAGGTCTGTGTTAGGCATGCAGTTCGCACAATGGTCGCTCTCGAGATATCTCTTGAGAAAGTCCGCATTGAGATTGAAGGAGGCGGACCACACTCGAACGGTGGTTTCGCCTATCGAATGGAGCCGTACGTATTACACATGTCCTATGGCATCGGGAGTTTTTACTAACTTGATTCCCAGACCTCTCGATACGCTGCTAAGCTTCCACTTGGACAAAGCTGGCAAGCCGAACGTGCCTATCCGATACGCTGTCCGGCAGGTTCTCGCCCAAGAATTGGCAAAAGAGAAACTCTTGCAAAATTCGCTGTCGCGACATGCTCGTTCGGTCGGTCTGGAAGTTGGTAACGATATAGCTGATGGCGACGATAAAGAGAATGATGGCTCAGAGAGACTGAAGGCAGCAATGTCGAGAAGTACGGAGTTGAAGCGGGATTTCTTTGGCCGGATCATCAATGAGGCTCGGCCCGTTTCCGCAGGCAAGGGGTCTGGGGGACAGATGGCGAAGGACAAGCTTCGTGACGGAGGCAGAGTCTGGGTATCGTTCCATGAAGGCTTTTCCAACGCTGTTCGAAGACCGATTACTCTGAAAGAGTTCATGGAGGGATTCTGAACGAGACTACCAGTCCTTATGTGAGGTCGTCGGGAGTCAACTCGACAAGAATAATTGAACAGAATGAAATTGTTTAATGACCTTTTCCCTCTGTACTGCCACAACTAGGCTCGGTAGGCGCCATGGGAACGGAGATATCTCCTGAATGAAAAACGGGAGTCCAAAAACAAAAAGAGCGATTGCGTCCTCACATTCCAGTGAAAGATCGCCATAGTTGGCTAGATCGCACGGCCCCCTTGGATAGTTCCCGAAATGTGGCATTGTTTGGAGAATGTCGTCCTGACTACCCCAGGTATGCATGGCCTTTTTGTTTGCAGAATTTGACCCGGGAAACAAAGAAGTGCCAAATGAAAAACACCAGCCAAAGCTCGCTCCCTTTCTCGATTGCTGCTGCTCTCTGCGCTCGCTCCGTTCGATTATACTTTTTGAATATTTGCTGTGGCTGTACTGTACCGACTTATGATGCAGTGGAACCGTATACACGCTGGCGTCTTGCAAGTCTGAAGTGCTAGTCATGTACTTGATTCCCCTCCTCTTCGTACAACTTACCTGTTTTCTGGCTGTTCAGGCAATCAGTGTCCAGGATATCCCTCAGTGCGCGGTTGGTGAACCTTTCTCGAGACTGATTCCAAAAAAAAAAGAAGAGCCCGGCTGACATGACATGAAGCAACAATGCCTTTCAAACTCAACCACAGCCCAGACGCAATGCTCGGTAATCGATATCGGATGCCTCTGCTCCAACACGGCGTATGTCAGCACCCTGTCGTGCTGCCTCTATCAGAAATGTTCGGAGGGGGAGCAAGCAAGTAAGTTTTGAGATATCGGGGAACGCAAGCGATGCGCTGACTGGGAGGTTTAGCTGCCATACAATTCAACAAGCAGGAGTGCGCAGCAGTCAATGAAACAGCCCCAGACTTCGTAGGATGTTCTCCTGCGGGATTATCCAGCGCTCTCGCAAGCGCCAGTGCTCTAGGCGTTGCACCTGTGACGGGCTCAGCAACTGCCTCTTCTGTCACAGGCACCTCTTCATCTTTATCCTCTTCTTCACCGTCCTCGTTGGCGAATTCTGGATACCTTACAGTATCGGGGGATGTGGTGCCTGAAACTGTTATCTCGCAAAGTGGAAAGACGCCCACAGCCACTTTTGCTGGAAGACCACTGATGACGGGCAGTTGCACGGTCCCCTACTTTGCAATTGTGACCAACAACTTGAACGCCGCGATGGTGACTGAGTTTCCCGCGATCGGCTGTTCTGACGAGAGGGCAGACTGTTGTCCGTTCGACCCGAACCTGAATCAGGCTTTGACTAGATGTCCCCAGGACTATTTCACCACAGCAAACGGTTGCTGTCCAATGTAAGTACTCGCCCGTCTCGAGGTGAGAGGTTGTGTAATCTGACTGTGTTGTAGTGGTTTCCAAGTATACTACACGGCCATTGGTGCGCAAACACCCTGTTATTCCGACCCAGCAACAAAGTTCATTCCGGCATCAACGCCAACGATATCGGGATTGACATTGATTACCGACCATGTCTTTTCGCAAATGTATATGCTGGCCAAGCCTTCGTCACACGGAGTAAAGTTGCCGTTGGGTGCCAAGATTGGAATCGCAGTGAACGCGGTCCTCTTCGTTGGAATCATCATTGCTCTGATCTTTTTCATCCGCCGCAGAAGAATGAAGGCAGCCGCGGCAGAAAACGCCCGATCGACGACATTCCCGCCGCAAGAACCCGCTCTGCAAATGTCCGAGGCCCCGAACACCCATGAGCTGGACAGTCCAGAGGCGCAGACAACAACAAAGTCCCCTGGAACACCTGGAGATCCAAATTGGCCCATTTTCCCGGCTTCGTCGCCTCCTGCGTATGAGCATCCCAGGGCGAAGCCGCTGCCGTCCAACAAGTTGAGCCCTAGCACTCCACAGGAGCTGCCAGGAAGCACGTATATCCATGAACACCACCCTGCCTACTCCAGTGGGGATTCGGCAACAGAGGTGACAGCGCCATCATCACCTCCAAGGACCCCAGTCCAGCAGAAGACCCAGAAAAACTCACCCGTCTTGTCCGCCCTTACTCCAAGGTCGGGGAATCAAAGTCCACCGTTTGTCTCGCCGTTGGGGTCTCCAAGGCTACCTCAAACACCGCCATGACAGGCTTATACATATTTCAGTGCGTTTGGATCTGTTCGAAGGGTAGATAGAGATAGGGAGCGAAGAAATCATAGTATGGAGTTACCGGAGTACTTCGAGTTATGTAGGAACGATGATTGAATGTTGTCAACAAGAAGAAATAATTTACCATATCCAAATTGGGCAGCCTTGCTAGTATCACTTGCGGACCAGCCGTAGCGACTTATCATACCTGTGCATCATGGAGACCAAAGTACCCTTACCAGAGCGGCATGGCGTGGAGTGAGCGCTAAGGTGTAGCCATCAATAATTCAGTCGATCGGATACTACGGCGCTATTGTGATACTGGTATGGTGCCGGTGTGTAAGAGTTGTAGAGAGTGATAAAGAAAATGTAATATTGGAGGAAAATACCTGGTTATAGGTCCACGGGTACAGGCGGCAGGTGCCAACAGCGCAGGCTTCAAGTTGCTTCGAAACGGCAGTCGCACTGCATGAGGAGAGCGACCAATGACCCGCAGATGTCGGGTATCATCTCCGCGTCACATGACCTCTTGGCGTGAATGGCGGTTGGAAAGTCGTGTCTCCGCCGCGCAGGTTCGCGACGAGCAATACATGTGTCTCGATACAATAAATCCAAATAAGCCATATCATATCCCGCTCAATACAGGCCTTCGCTTGCAGACCGCGCCATCCCACTACTGCGGCGAAACGATCTCCATCTCAGCCACATTCACGGCGAGACTCTCGCGGTCGCCGGAGGCTGCAGACTACAGGAAATTCATAGTTGACGTCCAATCCAGCCATGGAGGACAATCAACAACCACCTGCCGAACTCAAACACGAGGCTTCAGATGCGACCGGCCTGGCAGCTGATGGTGCTGATGCGCCTGCGGCGGGCGAAGCGACAGAACAGAACGGTGAAGGTACGCGTTGCAACACCGCATTGCGCCTTGTCGGCAAACATATTTTCCACGGTCTCATTCTGACATCAATCAATAGGCACTGGCTCCAGTAATGCCAATGGGACAACATCGGCCAACCCGTTAGACGCGCCAAAATCTCCGCCTGCGCAAAACGAAGAAGGTGGCGAGCAGGAAGATGCCGACATGGGCGGGGTGGACGACGACGCTAAGGGCGAGGAAGCGGACGCTGAAAAAGATAACATCGATGATGCGCAGGGAACCCCGTCGGGCAATGCCGATGGCCAGTCTGCGCAGACAAAGGCGAGTCTCGAAGCAGCGGCCAATTCACATCTCGTAGCGCAAACGCATCAGATCATCCTCCCGAGCTACAGCACTTGGTTTGACATGCAGACCATCCATCCTATTGAAAAGAAGTCACTTCCCGAGTTTTTCAATGCGCGCAACCGAAGCAAGACACCTGCCGTATACAAGGATTATCGAGATTTCATGATCAACACATATCGCCTGAACCCCGTCGAATACCTCACAGTGACTGCGTGCCGAAGAAATTTGGCCGGCGATGTCTGCGCGATTATGCGTGTCCACGCGTTCTTGGAGCAATGGGGACTCATCAACTACCAGGTACACACCCCTGCAACTGACACTTCACCATTTCTTACACTGACGTCTTCAGGTTGATCCACAAACACGTCCGGCGAACATTGGACCCCCATTTACAGGACACTTCAAAATCACTGCGGATACACCTCGAGGCCTGCAACCCTTCCAACCCGCTCAAAACACGTTCACAACGCCGGGGAAGCCGCATCCCTCGACTGAGCGGGCGAAATCAGCAACTCCCGCAGCAAAGGCAGACCTAAACCTGGAACTCCGACGTAGCGTGTACGACGAGAAAGGAAAGGAGATCAAGGCCAGCGAAGAGCCAGCAGAAAAGCAACCAAATGGCGAAGGCACCGCAGCAGTCAATGGTAAGAGTACAGAGGACGCAAGCACGGCGACCAAGGCGATGGAATCGGCTGCGAGGGAGCCGCTCAAAATCTTCAACTGTTATGCCTGTGGGATTGACTGCACCAGATGCCGCTTCCACTACGCTAGATCGGACCCAGTTTCTGGCAGCAATAACCCCGCCGAGGCCAAATACGATTTATGTCCGAATTGCTACTTCCAGTCCCGGATGCCCAGCAATCACCGCTCATCCGACTTTGTTAAGATGGAAGAGCCCGCTTACTCGCATATACCCGACAAAGACGCTCCATGGACAGATTCGGAACTTTTGCTGCTCCTGGAAGCCTTGGAAACCTTCGATGACGACTGGAATCAAGTTTCCAAACACGTGGGAACAAGGACGAAGGAAGAATGCGTGCTCAAATTCCTACAGCTTGACATTCAAGACCAATTCCTCGAAGACTCGGCTCTGGGTGCGTCAACAATGAAGTTTCTCAGCGGTCGCACGCCGATCAGTCAGCTTGAAAATCCCGTCATGTCAGTGATCAGCTTTTTGGCTCAAATGACGGATCCAAGTGTAGTCACGGCAGCGACCGGTCGGTCAATCGCGGCCATGCAAAAGGAGTTGCGGCGGCAACTCGAAAAGGGGATGGGCGGAGACAAGCAGCAGTCTGCTGCACCGGAGAAGGACAAGGAGCAGCAGCAGCCGCAGCAGACTGACAAAGAGAACGTCAAGTCTGAAGATCGAATGGACGTTGATGCACCGGCTTCGGCTGCTGAACAGACGTCCGCGTCTGCGTCTGCTGATGCTGAAAAGAGTGCTGAGAAGAGTGCTGAAAAGAGTTCTTCAGACGTAATCAGCCAGATCGCGACAACTGCGTTAGCCACGGGCGCCGCTCGTGCCAGTGCTCTGGCATCTCATGAAGAAAGAGAAATCACCCGCATGGTCGGCGCGGCCGTCAACCTGACGCTCCAGAAACTCGAGTTGAAGATGGACCAATTCGCCGAGATGGAAGAGATTGTCCAGGCCGAACGAAGAGACCTGGAAAAGGGTCGCCAGCAATTGTTCTTGGACAGATTGTCGTTCAGGAAACGAATGAAGGACACGCTGCGCACCTTTCAACAAGCTAGCTTGAAATCGGCTGAAGAAGGCACGCGCATGATGCAGGACTCGCTCAATGCCCATGCCGGACAGCGGTTTGGGTTCCAGCCGGACAATGGTGGTTCCGGTGAGCAGCAGACGATTGCACCCCCAGCCGGTGGAAAAAGCGTCGAGATCTCTTAGTGGCGGGGCGAGACGCCGACCCGATCTGGGGGCATTGGCATTGCGAGGCCAGTAGTGAACCAGTTGAATCAAGTGAATTATTTGAGTGGATGGGGCGTTCTTCCGCCTGGGAACACTTCGATGACGGGGCAGCAGGGCAACAATGTTCAAAGATAAAGGAACTGCAAAAATTCGTGAGATGACACGGAGCGGAGCGGAGTGGAGTGTGGCACAGGTTTTATTGTTAAATGTTATATTGGTTTCACTCGGAAATGTCTGATTAGTGTTACTAGGGATACTGCCACTGCAGTGACTACGGTGGGACTTACTAAAGCTCTATTATAAGAGGGGTATCATTATTGTGTTGTCTTAGTACCTAGGGAGCGCTTGAAGTTGGGCATATTGCCGACACGACGTGCTTCAAGTCTGTATTAAAATTTGCAACTTGCAACACTGCTGTGGTGCTTTCCCCGGGTGATTCTCTTCCTGCCTAGACCTTACTCAATAAGTTAGTGGAATGGGATAAAATGCTCAAGAGGTATCTCTGATAGTAGTACACAGGAACGGGAGTCTTGACGACCGAAATGTGTCAGTGTCATAGCATGTCTAGGTTTCTATATAGACACAGGAGACCGAGGTTGTATCATGCCATGCTAGCTATCAACCAGGCCGGCCAGTAGTGGGTATCATGGGCAGTCCCTGCCAGGCAGGATGATATCGCTATCCATCAATCATGGATGGGTTGCGGCCTGTTGTATGCTGTTGCCAGCCAAAGGTCTTGTGGCCTCAATCCATTCGCACATGAAGCTCTTTTGCCGGGTGTAATCTTTAAAAAGTCGTACGAGAAGTGGCATGCTCGCGAGTAGTAGTGCCTGATATCACTGCCGTGGCTACGTGAGCGCGGTAGTTCTCGCCGTCGAGTATGACCCGAGTTCATTTTCCTTCGTAGGCCGATGTTGCTGTTGAGATGATGACAAACTTGAACTCCCACGAGTCTGAGTCTTGCTCTTGTTCTCTCCTCGTTGCTGTTGCAGCTGTTGACATTTCCGCGTCCGCCACTGCCATTCCCATAGAACGGGCAAGAAACTCCACAGGTCAAAGTCAGGCCACAGCACATCCAGAAACACAATCTGAGTATCCTCATGACACTGCCACAGCAGGTAATCTGACAAGCGACTGACGCCGCTAGTCCGTATCAAAAGGTCCACAGGCGGATCTCCGGCGGTATACATGTGAGAATCAAGTGTTTCGGGCGTGATGAGCTCTGGGGAAGGGTATTTCAGTTTCAGCGGCGTATTTTTGTCGCCATGACTTTGTGTCTGTTGTTGTTCGCTCGAGGTCGAGGTCGACGTCATTTCGGTGTTGTCGTCAGGATGTAACGTGGTCGAAGTAGACACCGACACAGAAGAAGACAAAGTGTCGTTGTCGTTGTCATTGTCGTAGGATGAGAGAGAAGTAGTACTTGAGGATGGCGACTGCAAACCGAAACCAGAACCAGCAGCTTCAGGTTCAAGGTACGTTGATGATTGCTGTTGTGACCGGATTGTATGGGCGATGCGCTCTTCTTTGAACGGACTTTTCGCAACGGGTGGTATGGGCCTCGAGAACTCTTCAACTGTACCTCGGACGGCCGCGGTGATTTCTTCTCTGCTCGTGTACGGAAAGCAAACGTTCAACACGCAATTGCCATTTCCCTGGGTCATTTTCACAGCCTGATCCACCACTTCCAAAACATCGGGCTTGATCAATTCTCTTTGCCCCAAAATGCGAATGCGCGCGCCGTATCGATCCAAAAGGTCACCATGCTCGACCAGTTGTTTCAGTTTGATTTTCGCCATTTCCATCAGCGCGTCGACTTCGTATTTGGACCGTTTGAAGTTTTCAATGCTGAATGCGTAGATTGTTACGTGTGTCACGCCGGATTTGTAGCATACTTCGAGAATCTGGCGAACTTCTGGTCAGTATTGTCTCTTTTGTCCTTTGATCCAGAGCGCGGGATCGGAGCGGATAGTATGGTCAACGTACCCTAGCCAACGCCTCGAATCCCAGATTATGTCCTTCTACCGTTTCGATTCGGTGTCTCTTTGCGAACCGGCGGTTACCGTCCATCACGAATGCGACGTGTTTGGGCACGGGGCCTTGTCGGAGAGCCCCGATGAGTAGTTCGCGCAGTTGGTTCAGTGCCCATTCGGCGGGCGGGGAACGGAGTAGCCATTTCCGTATATGCGACATATGTCTGGAGGCCATGATTGTCGGATTGAGGAGACAGTGAATGGGTTGCGAAAAGTGCTGTCTATCACATATGTCGGCCGGTGGTGTTCGAATCAGGTGAGAAAGGAAAAGTAAAGTTGTCGGCCTGCGTGCTTAGAATGAGAGTAATTGCAAATCGAGGTTGCGATGCGAGGAAACGAGTGTATGTATACCCAAGCACGACACGCAATCCCTCCGTGGCTGATGTGGGCGGTAATCACGCTACTATTCCCGTGCACTGCAATGTTCACCGACACTGCATGCCATGTGTTCTTGTCCAAAATCCAAAACCACGGGTGAGGGTGACGTACAGCTGCGAGGCTCCACGCTGTCCATCCGCCGCTTTTTATTCGACCCCGAGAGTTTCCGCTCCGCCCCTTTGGCTCGTCAATCCTCCACGCCCCCCGACCCAAGGTAGAGGCATGCACAGTACACCTGCAGCTGGCTTCGCTTCGCACCTACACCTGAGCAAGGCTGGCTAGTAGCCGCTCTAGTAGATGTAGTCTTACAGCCGTATCAACAGGTCACAGCATAGTATCTACAATCTTTGAATCACGCCAACAGCCAAATTCTGTAAGAGAAGAATGGTATCACTGATTTCGGTTTATGCTATGCTCCCAAACAACAGCAAACTATCGAACTTTGAACATCAAGCACAAAAGGAGACTTGTCTAAGAGAAAAATGGATATCTCGTTGAGCAGTTCGGTTCCAAGAAATGCTTGACTAGAAAGCACGGTTAAGGGTCAATCTGGATTTATCCCGCCAGCATCACCATTACCGTTCGCTTGCCCGAGCATTTTCGTTCTCGCCCCGGGTGCCAGCCCCAGGTGGAATAAAGACATCAGGAATCTTGATTCCCACAACCCCTTTGGGTCCAATGTCTTTATCCTTCTTCGGCTGCGGGGTTTTATTCTGAGTCGAGCTGCCGCCATCGTCGTCACTTTCGCGCACTTGAACTTCGAGACGCTTGAGCTTCTCGCCGCGCAGGATCTTGTTGATTTCTTCTCGATCCAGAGTCTCGAATTCAAGCAGGGCGTCTTTCAGCGCCTCGAGTTCCTTGCGCTTCTCTTTGACGATCCGATCGGCTCGTTGTCGGCCCGCCTCGACAATGTCTCGAACCTCGCGCTCAATTTCCATTTTGGTCTCGCTGGACAGATTGTTGTAGTCCGAGGCGAGGTCCACATTTCCGAGCTTGCTCGAGTAGCCGCACTGCGTAACAAGATGATAGGCTGTGCGTGTGGCGCTCTGCACGTCGTGGGCAATACCGCTCGTTACCTTGTTCGGACCGAAGATAAGTTCTTCAGCGGCTCGGCCACCCATTGCGACATCAATCTGAGCAAGGAATTGGTCGTATCCCATGCTGACCGCATCCATCTCAGGGAGGAAATGCGTCACGCCGAGAGCACGACCCCGGGGGATGATTGTCATCTTGTATAACTGGCTGCTTCCGGGGGTGAAAAGGTTGACCAGGGCATGACCCGCCTCGTGATAGGCCGTCTGTATCTTGTCCTTTTCACGGATCATGCGAGACTTGACCTCCGCTCCCATCATGATCTTGTCTTTGGCCCACTCGAAATTCTGCGCATTGACCTTCTTGTACTTGAGACGAGAGGCATGAACTGCGGCCTGGTTGCAAAGGTTCTCCAAGTCGGCGCCGGACATACCGCTGGTTGCTCTCGCGAGGACCGTTGCGTCCACATCGGCAGCCACAGGCATGTTTCTCATGTGATGCTTCAAAATCTCGATGCGACCTCGTACGTCGGGCAACGGGACGTTGATGTGGCGGTCGAACCGACCAGGTCTGGTGAGGGCCTTGTCGAGAGATTCAGGGTAGTTGGTTGCGGCGATCAGGATGACACCCGTACTTGGACTGAAGCCGTCCAACTCTGTCAGCAATTGGTTGAGGGTCTGCTTGGCATATGCAGGATCGCGAGCGTTTCTCTTCCCGCCGACAGCATCCAGTTCGTCGATGAAGATGATGGCGGGGGCTTTGTTCCGTGCTTGAGCAAACAGATCGCGAACTCGCTTCGCACCAACTCCGACATAGAGCTCATCAAACTCCGATCCAGACATATAGAATACCGGAACACCAGCTTCACCAGCAACGGCTCGTGCCAGCATTGTCTTGCCAGTACCAGGGGGACCAACGAGCAAGACACCCTTGGGCAACTTGCCGCCGAGCTTGTTGAACTTCTCCGGGTTCTTCAGAAATTCGACCAGTTCCTGCAATTCCTCCTTGGCTTCATCGCAGCCATGGACATCACTGAAGCGAACAGTCTGGTGCTGGGGTTGTACTTCGTTGTTTTGTCCCACTCTCGTGCGAAGACTGCCCGACATTTCGACAACCATGGTGAGAATAACCAGGAGAAAATACCCGGCCAGACCAACCCAGAGGAACGTCTTGACCCACTTAAGAATGGTGTTTCCCCAGGATTCTTCCACGACGACGTAGAGAGGTGCTTCTCTTGCGCCGGTACCGGATTTGTTACTGGGCATGACCAACGAGCCGCCATAGTTTTGTCCTGCAACCGCTTGACCCACAGCCTGCAAGGTTTCCGGGGGTAGAGCACCGCCTTGAGGCGAGGATGCCGCATGATTCGGAGTGCCGGGAGCAGGTACGGAGCCGACCAGTTGAAGCGCCTTGAGGTAGGTCGCGTCCGTCGCTGCGTTGCTGGCATATCGTCCTGACTGGTATCTCTCAATCACAAGCTTTGGCATGTTGGCTCGCAGAAGGGCGGAGTAAAAGGCATTCTGTGCGGTTGCGCTCGTCGGATTGTTGTTTGCGGTACGTTCCATGTGTGCGAGCATGTTCTGATTCTGAGGCTGAAAGGTATTGGAGAATTGCCGATAATGGTTCTTGAGGCCCGTTGTATGTCCGGTCCCGGGTCGTCCGAACAGGATGCTGCTCATTGAAGGCATCGGCGATTGAAAACGAGGCGCCTTCACTCTATCCGTTCGTGCGGCCACCCGCAGTGTTGGCAGTGGCGGGGCTCGGGTTGTATACGACCGTGACGTAGGCAATATGAAAGAATTTGTCGCCATGGTGGTCCGAAGAGTACCAGACAACCACGGCAGAGTTTGATGTTGGCGGACATGCAAGGGAGCGGAACGAAGGCTTTCGATCGGTACATTCGCGAGAACGTCGGGTAGTCTCATAGCGGGCGATGCCTGAAGCAGAGTCAGTCCGCTGCCTCGCATTATCGAAGGAGTTAAGCATACACTCGGGTTGTTGATACTTCTCTCGGTAGTCGTCTGCTTGTGCTGGGTGGGTTGCGCTTCTGGTTCGGCCTTCAGGCGCGCAACACGGTTGCGGCGGAGTGTCTTGAGTGGCGACGTAACGAGAGAAGGAAGGGCAGTCCGGAGATCGGGGCCGAGTATGGACAGGCTCTGCATCGACATAGGCATCAGCAGGTATTGCTTGAGTGGCGGGTGAGGCATACGTACAGGAAGCTGACTGAGGGGAGCCTGTAAGGCCATCTTGACAGTGGTGTAAGCGGCAGCGGCCGCCAAAAGCAAATGATCCTATCAGTAAAAGAAAGTCGCCGAGTGAAAGAAAACGAAGAACAAGAAATAGGCGTGTGCCCTGCCACGCCGCAGGTTGTTGCGACGAAGTACAGTGTATAGCGGGCGATGAAAGTGAGAACGGCGGGCGGATAAGTGAAGTTGTATAGTTCAAGTTGAGGATGTTCAAGTTGCCTCTGGTGCTTCTGGCGGATTCGGTTGGCTCCGACATTCGCCATCCGACGTTTGCCACGGAGGCCACTTGCTGCTATTGGTACCTAGGTAGGTATCCAGTAAGAGCAGGTTGCCGCCTTAAGAAATAATTGCCGCTATAAGAGACTCGCACCAGCCTCGTCGCCATCGCCCACACACTGCCACTGGCACTGCACTGCACCTGGGTGCGCACTGCACACGAGTACCTACCTACCTAGGTACTCAAAAGGACTCAATCAACCTGCTACCAAAGCACACGGAATCAGAAACACAAGCGCCGTGTTGTACATACCTCAGTCCATACCGAGGATCAGGGCTATATCTGTGATTAAAAGTATAATTCAGCTCCTATATGTCCAGGGTTATGTGATTATGCATGCATGGCTTCAAGCTGTGGGCCCCCCATTCGCAAATGAATCACTTTCATGCGCTCGTCCAAATTCGAGTCTATCCATTTTCATGTCGATATCCCCAATCCTTTCTCCGGTTCCCTTTTTCACCGTCCAGTAACAACGGAGTTCAGTACGCCAATGAGTCAACCGTTTACCCTACTACATGTTCGCCAACTCCCCATCAATAGCCTTATCCAAGAACTGCCTCCTCTCACCGGCCGGAATCTCACATTGTAGTCGTTGCTCCACCAGGGCGCGGACTTGCTTCTTCGTAACTGTGTCCAGATCGACTTCGCTCAAGACCGTACGAATGGCCTCGATGATATCGTGGTCGCTCGGCCCGGCAGACGGGACAGTGCGGAAATCCATAATCGTCGACGCAGGGCGGCTGGTGCCCATACCTAACAAGCTTGGTCTGCTGACAGAATGCTGCATCCCATTGAAGCCGCTCTGGTAAGGGCTGCGAGGCTGATCCTGGTAAGGACCTGGCGACGGCGATGCCAGACGGGCCTGGCTTCCGAGACTCATCATGCTCATGTTCCGGCCATGCAAGCTCACGGGCTGATCACGGAACTGCGTGAGGCCAGTCATGGTGCTGGCCCGGTTGTTCATGTTGCCGAACGGGGCAGGAGAGCGTGGGGGTGCCATGTAGGGGTGCTGTTGCTTGCCAAAGCCCGTCAGGATAGTGCTGGATGGTTTGACGGATGAGTATGTCGAGTGCATGTCGTCCATTTCCATCATGCCACCCATTCCTGCTGGGTCATCCGTATAGTTCACATCGAACCCTCCTTTTTCCGGGTAGGCGCCCGGGTTGCCACGTCGGCCAGGAAGATTGTTGACAGCGGCGTAGTCGTCCCATCTTTGGAGCGGGATGGACCTGGGGTCGAAGCCCTCATCTTGGATCGCAACCACTTTCTTGTCGCCTTTCTCACCAATGACGATCCTCGTGTTACCCCATGAGAAGTTGTCCTGATTCCAGAATGAGTAGATAGGCAGGACAAAACTGTAAATAGGGTATGCCAGGATGTAGATGATCATCCAGCCCACATGCTGCCACTGTCTCTTGATGATGAATATGATGGCTTGCAAACCGTAGACAGCCGCAATCATCACGATCGATATCAGAGGAAATTGTCCGGTGTTCGAAGCCAGCCGATAGATCAGGTAGACCATGTAGATACACGTAGCAGGCAGGACGATGGTTCCGAACAGGTCGACAAAGACCACAAATCTCATGGAGAAACAACAGAATCCACACAGATCCTTGAGCCATACGAGCTCGGCAAGGTTGTGGATGGTCGAGTTAATCCATCGTCGTCTCTGCGAAAGCAGGACCGACCAGGTTTCTGGGGCGGCAGTCAGAGCGTAGGCATCGGGGATGAACTTGTACGACATGGCCGGGAAATGCTTCGTCATCAGAGTCGTGAGGTATCGATCCTCACCGAGCGACAACAAGTTCTTTTTATGCAGCGTGTCGACATCGCAGTCCGAATACTCCTGTATGACCTTGTCGGAAATGATCAAAGGACGTCCCTTGTCTGCCGTGCGCAAACGGTACATGCAGAAACTGTGCGAATGTTAGTGACACAGAAGGCATTTCGGGTGGGTGGTGGTACGTACCAGCCTGGCAAACAGGTGACGCTGCCAAAGAGCGATTCGAAAGCCTTGGAAAGATGATGGGAAATGTAGTACTCGTAGACTTGGATCATAGTCCACCAACTGCGTTCTTCGTTCTCCAAACTGGTTTCACCGCAGATTCCGGCAATTTTGGCATCATTGGCGCATGCAGCGACCAGCCGATTCAGAGAGTCTTCCTTGACCATAGTGTCTGCATCTACCATGAGAAGATACTCGTACAACTCGGGGTCCACGCCGATGATGTTGTTGATTTGGTGAAACATTTCCAACTCCAGAGGCGACATAGGAGATCGGTGGTGCACGCGATTCAGGAACTGCATGAGCAAAACTTGAGAGTCTCGCTTGCCACGATTTCCCGGCTTCGACTTGGACTGCTCGGATTCTTTGCCGACTTTGACAATAACAATGTAGGGCACGACATTACCCTCGTACTCATATAAGCCAGAGTAGACTTTTCCATAATTTAGCTGCTCATTTCCGTTGCCCACCGATCTGAAGGGGAGGGCGGGCGGGTCAATCTTCGGATCAACTCCGAGGATGTCAAGGACAATCTTGGGTGTTGGCCTGTCATTGCCGCCTCCGACAATCATGCCATCGCAGATAACGCAAATCAGCTTCCGCTTGTTGTCGTATTGTAGAGCCGTGAGCGAGTCGAGTGACTTCCTAAGATGGTCTTCACCTTCAGTGTACGCGGGCACCTGACAGATCACGAACTTGTCTTGGGGAGCCGGCCGGCGCTTGGATCCTAATTGCAAGGCTGCTAAGAATTTGACCAAGATAACCGAGCAAAGAACAATGCTAAATGCCAACATCATGTAATTGTTGACCTGACACTTGGGCTCGTCGCGGAAGTCAACTTTGCCAACATAGAAAGCATTGTCCATACAGTTGAGGCTCGTTTGAAAGGAGGCACTGGTCCCCCATTTATCCGTGATGTCGAGACCGGGGTTGCTGGAAACAAGATCCGTCACTTCGTCGGGGAAGAACTTATACGTGGCGTAGTTGTTCATCTGGTCCAAGGTGTAGAAATAGTCGGTGAAATCATAGATCTTCTTGTGAATGACCACCCACATCCGCTGGCTATTTTCGGCTTGTTGCTTTAAGCTGTGTTTCGAAACCACGAGGTCGCCCTTGTAGTATTCCTTGATCTTGGGCAAAAACCTGTCGCTGTACCAGTTCCAGCTGTGCAGCGCAGACTTGGTATTTGTTTGAAGACGTTCACCAGAGGTGTGAACCGCATTAGGGTACTGGACTGCATCCGTATTGTTATGCTGCAATGTGACACTTTCGTCAATATCAAGGCCGGGACAAGCGCGGCTCAACGGCGGCGGAAAGTACGCGTCAAGATTCTGACCTGCGAGAGGCAGCATGTTTTCCGCGTTGGTTTCGATGCTGGTGTCACTGTGTTGCAACCGGTAGAATTTGGTAATGTCGTAGACCTTGCCGTGGATGCTGACATACACGTCGTTCGTCCCCGTGTGGTAGCCCACCTCTTTGGCGTTCCATGCCTTGTCAAAGTTGGGACACAGTAATCTCCCAAATTCGACGAAGTAGAACACGATTATACCATTGATCAAGAATATAATGAAGACCAAAACCACCTTCTCCCGCCAAGCCATGCGTACATCTGGCCGCTTCATGCCACCAATGTACCTCAACATGATGGACGGGATCCACCAGGTCAAGGCCCAGACGACAGACACCCAGGCTTGTCGCCCGGCCGAGGTGGGTTTGGACTCGACGTTACGAGGGTCTCCGAACTCAGGGTCGAGCTCCCCGGTATATACTCCCAGATCCGCATCGTAGTATACGTGGTCTTTATGTGAGTCTCCTTTGGGACCAAGTCCATAGTCACCGCCGATTGATTGGACCGTTTTAGCCATTGTTGGTGCCAGTGATTTGGCCCGCTCAGTGGTCGCTTGTGCAAGGAGATTTTCTCGGCTGTCTTGAAGGCTCATATTGTCGCCGACCGGAGGGAAGAAGCCGCTGCCATTGTGCGGCATGTTGGCCGAGTAGCCAGAGGCAAAGGGATTCAGTGGCTGGCCAAAAGCGGGATCGTCTTGATAGCCGCCTGCGACAGGCTTCATGTCAAGCATTGACTCGGCTTCCCACCATGCAGACTCACGCATCCAGACACGCTCGCGGCCGATGACAACTTCACCATTTGTCCAGCCACGTTCAAGCAAGAAGGTTTCGATGCCGTCTTTGCCGTCTTTGCAGCCTAGTCTGGAATATCTCGTCACAAACTCTTCAAAGTCGAAATCGGCAGTGAAGTCGAGATGTCGGTTACGGTGGTTGGCCCATTCCGGCAATCTCCATGCCCGTAACTGTCGGGAGACGGCTCCTGCCGACCACGCAGAGGTCGGCGAGGGAAGAGCGGCTAGAGCACTTGGGCTCTCATCCGTAGGATGAATAGAGAGTTGGTACCAGGCCCTGCTGCTAGCGACGGTGGCGCCGAGGTCAAACCGTCCCCTTCGACCAAAATTCAGGCCTTCTCCATCAACAGGGTAGAGAAGTGTATGCAAGAATCCGCCATCCTCGGCTTCAGCCCCAATCCTCTCCAAGATAGCTTCTCGCCTGTCGCGGTCATGCTCTCTTTCACGACTGAGCGGGGTGCCTTTGATGCCCAAATCAGCCTCCGCCTGTGCGACGGCCGCTTGCATTTCTTTGAGCACCGAGTGGCCAGCGGGTACCACCTCAATACCGTCATCCTTCATTTCCGCGTTGATGCCGAAAGTGTCATCGAAAACATTGCGCATCGTCACCGCCTTGCCGAGAGTTTCGTCATAAATCTCAACGACCGTGAAGCTAACCTCGTCTCCATCCTGGGTGCTCGAGTCGGGTGTGAGAGCCCCTGCTCGCAACTCGGCGGCAATTGCGTCGTTGGCTTTGGATATCACCCAGTCGACTAATGCTTCGTACATTCCCGCAATCAATACCTCCCGGTCGTCGGTGGTGCATTTCTTGAGGAGAACCTCAGGTTCCAGGCCAACGAGCGCCCCGACATCTTCACACACGTCTTCAAGAATGTCCGAATCAACGAGGAAACCCACTGTTTCCCCTAATTTGAGCAGCCCAGCAAGACAGGAGAGTAATCCTCGGAAGGAGGCTCCTTTGATGCCGATGGCCTTGAGCGCCACGCGGAAATCTTCGGCTGCTGCAGTATCGTCTGCGGCAGGGAGATAGGTTGGAGGCTCATATGTACCCGACCTATTCAGAAGTGCATATTTTGATGGATGCTGCAAACTGAGGAATTCGCGTTCAGCAGGCGTAGAAGCAGACGTTAAAAGGTAGTAGAAAACATCGAAAGCCCGGTTGCCCGGTTGAGACGGGATCCTGAGTAAACCCTTTTCTACATCGATGCCGGAGCCGGACAAGGCAAGATTGAAACCGGTAACGGTCCCCGAAAGTGTGACTGTATACCTGGCGCTAAAGGACGAAAGTCGATGTGTAGTCGGGTTGATTGGCGTGGCGCAACAAAGGAAGGGTCGCAATGCTGACAGGGCAGTGTTTACGATAGAGGGTGTCGGTAAAGGAACGACTTGCAGGAACGTCTGAAACACCGACGGCGTGGAGGGATGAAGAGATGCCAGAATCACACAAGCATCCTCTGCTCTTCTTCTGGCATGCTCCCATGCTCTTGAAGCAATGTCGGCATCTACCGTGCCACCCACTCGACCGTGCGCGTCCGGGTTGATCGCGGTCAGCCAAGTGTTGGCTGCGATACTCGTGCTCGAGTCGAGTTGGTAAGTCTGGCCGGAGGCGTAGACTGTGTGGAGAGCATTGAGGAGGGTGGTAGTTGAGACTTGTGTTGATTGTTGGGCCGCCGAGCGAACTGCCGCCGGTTGTGAGGAACCGTTCGAATAGGTAGAGTATCGATTGGCCATGGTGTGGAATGTCTGGCCCCTGTCGAGCAAAAGGAGTCGACAGGGCCTTCACAACGGATTATGTCGATGGGATTGTGCCTGATCTTGCAATATTCTCTTCTGGCAGGCAAAGCTTTTCACTGCGTATGGCGCCGTCACTTCGTGAGCAAAGATCGAACGGAGAGGGTCGACAAATAACGGACTCGGCTCGAAGGAGGGAGGGTGAGGTTCCGTGCCGCACTGTTGAAGGCAGCGGCCAAAGATCAAGAGTAGAAAAACAACATTAACAGATAACGATAGACTATTCCGACAGGCTCGCTAGGAAAATCGAATGAACATAGAAAGCGAACGTGAAGGGTTGCATATCAGTAAAGATGTACAGTTAGAGGACCGAGACAGAACTCGTGGAGGTGTAGAGTCAAGGAGGCCCTCGCAGGAGCAGGAGTATGTTACGGGTGTGTCGCCATTGATGGCATCTGAACGTGTAATGGACGTTACCATTATTACACCAAAGTGACTGTTGACATCCATGGATAGAAGGGGAGCCCATTGATCCACCGTCCGGGGGCAAGACTCAAGAATAGCAATGATGCTGGCCACAGTCTGTGCGACGCCACCATGTCTTCGGGCCTTTGTACCACTGCTACTGGCCAGTCAGCGACCTAGCGGCTCAGCGTGGAGGCTCCTCTCTGGTGGCTTTCGGAAGAAAAGGGCCCCAGAAACCTGAATGCCACCTTTGCCCTTTGTGGCCTGGCGTGTTTGGCTCTTGACAGCTCTGCCAGGGGGCCCGGGTGTTGGCGGTGCTGATGGACCAATCACCGGTACAACTTCACCCAAAATGCTCCAGGGCAACGGATGGTGTCCGGATGACAACGCAGCTGCAAGATGTCGAGCAACTCCGGGTGATGCGGTTGCTATGTCGCACGAACAAGAGGGACACTTGTGATGGGCGACGAGCATCCCGTCAGCTGAGTCGTGCAGAGATGTTATCATGGCGAGGTAAAGAGACCATGCTCGTGGAATAGGCGTCAAGATGTCCTGATTCTTGTTTTTTTGCAACAGCGGGTCAGCGGCATGCACCGCGATGATCGAGGCGGGCCTAGTTTCACTTGATCCAAATGTTGCCAAAAAGCGGATTCGACTGTGACTTTTTGCCTGAGACAAACGCCAAATCACGTGTGAGCTCTATGAGCACGGCTGCTGCATGTCTCGCGGCGGCCACGGATGTGAAGGCAATGAATAGGTGGTGTCAGATTTGGCATCCAGAGTATTTTTATATAAAATTCGCATCGCACTGTCTCTTGCAGCATGCTGTGTTCTCTCCGGCGTTGCAGTATCGACCGCCTAGTTACCCCAGCCAGGGATTTTCTACAAGCCATCATGCAGACCGTGAAGACAAACGCAGTCTGGAGCATGAGTTAGGTGCACGTGAAAAAGGAGGACCGGAAGTGAAAAAAGGAGAGCAGAAGGACCATCGCCGTAGTGGTTCCCACCGGTCCTGGGTGGGAGTGGGTGTGCCATGATCCACAGCCTTAGGAGGTCGCTTTTTCTCGTTTCTCGTAGCCTGTCATTCCCGCTAGATTCGTTGCTATTGCTGGCCAGAAGGATTTGAGCCGGAAACCTCAACAGAGGACATTCTTGATGTTATGCCTCCTCTCTCGGGTCGAGATGCGGACCAAGCAGGCGAAGGCCAAATCGGTCAGGAGCCTCAAAAGCATGTGTAGAGAGTGGTACTGGGCAGTGCTGCTGCTGTTGATATCAGCTGTATTCTTCACAAGTCAGCCAACCGTGCAGCCGCCACCGCACCGGAAAGGCGTTGTACATTATTGTAGGATTGCAGCTTAGCACTGCCTTTCCACTTCTCAGCGTTGAGTAAAGACAGGACCTGTGGCGCAGCTGCAGGCATCTCGATGGAGGACTCCACTGCTTCCTTTCCAGGATAGACAGACAGCGAGATCTCAAGCTTTAGGTACTAATAAGCTGACTTTTGTGTGGCTAGGGCTTGGTGTCAGAAATAATGGCGGTTTACAGATTGCCTACCACCTCGACTTTCGAACAACCTCTCTCAACAGCCATAAGACATTAAGATCTATAAGTTAGTGTACCTATTCTAGAGGGTCTATAGAGTATTTTAATAAGTTTTCATAGAAGTTGAGCTTCTGGTATAGAAGTAATCACGGTTCTTGTAGGGACGGTTTTTAGGGAATAAACCGCCATTATTTTTGACACCAAGCCCTAGGCCGACTGGGAGGGGCCCAGCGTCTGGGGAGCAAACACCAGGGCAGTCCCCGGCACGCAGCGGTACCGGTAACAGCGTTACAATACGAGTGCTGCAAGCTCACGCTCTTCGTCCATACGTGCAGCGCCCACCAAACACCTAAGGAGCCTCGCCCCTGCACCAAAACACTCCTTGAATATTGTCCCAAAGATCAGACTCCTGGCACATCATTTCGCTCGCTCGCTCGCTCGATATTGTTGTTGTTGCTTTCACATTGCTGCAACTCCTTGATTACGACTTGACGATTCTTCGTTCGCTTCTTTCGCTTTGTATGATTTAATCCAGCGCCTTTGCATTGCATTGGTCTCCTCGCCGTTCGCTCTGCAGCCTGCGGCGTTGTCCTCGACACTCGTTGACTTCAATTCAGCACTACTTCATCTTAACCGAACTCGTCGATGAGGGAGAGGGCCGCCAGGTTGTAGAGGCATCGGAGCCGGCAAGATCTCTGGTTGCAACACCATTGACGCGCCTGGGCCATTGAAGTTCACCATGGCCACTCGAGGGAACGTCCCTGCACATATGCAGGCGTCCTTGCCTGCTCTTCCGGCTCATTTGCAATCAGATACCCACATAACCGCCCATCTTGCGAGCCGATTCCATGTTTCTTTGCCGACAGCGAGGTTATCGTCGCAGGGACTCATATGCCTCAACACCTTCACCTCTTCGACGCGAGGACCGAATGGAGACAAGGAAGGGAGTGCCATGGGGGAGGCGGAGGACCTGGCACGCCGGGCCTGGGCGAGGCTGGGTAATAGAGCGGAAGACCAAGCATTTGTTTTCTTGTAAGTGCTGCTGAAGGTGCGCGATTAAATGGTACAACACTGACTGTGCTACAGCGGGGAGTCTGGGTCGGGGAAGACGACAGTCAGGTCGCACCTCCTTTCCTCGTTCCTCTCGTTTTCGTCCACACCTCTATCATCAAAACTATCCCTCGCTGCCTTCGTCTTTGACACCCTGACCACTACCAAGACAACTACGACCCAAACTGCCTCCAAAGCAGGTTTATTTTACGAGCTACAGTACGATGCTTCGTCGAATAACCCTACCCTTATCGGAGGCAAGTTGTTGGACCATCGCTTGGAAAGAAGCCGTATTTCACATGTCCCAACGGGTGAACGGAGCTTTCATGTATTATACTACCTTCTCGCCGGTACAAGCGCCGCCGAGAAGTCCCATCTCGGCCTGGATGGCCATGTCAACATCACAACCGCCGGAACCGGCCTAAGCAGGTCCGCTTCTGTATCGCACAAGAGATGGAGATATTTGGGCCACCCCACGCAAATGAAAGTTGGCATCAATGACGCAGAAGGCTTCCAGCATTTCAAAAACGCGCTGCGGAAATTGGAGTTCCCCAGGACCGAAATCGCCGAAATCTGCCAGGTACTGGCAGCAATTCTTCATATCGGCCAATTGGAGTTCGGTACAGGACAGGCAACTCTTACAGCAGCCGAGGAAAGCGGCGGTTATTCTCATGAGGGCGGTGAGACCGTCACCGTGGTCAAGAATAGGGACACACTTGCTATAGTGGCTGCTTTCTTGGGGCTTGGTGTTCAGGACCTGGAGGAGAGCCTGAGGTACAAGACGAGGACCATCCACCGCGAGCGTGTCACCGTTATGCTCGACACGAAAGGCGCTCGCGAAAACGCTGATGAGCTCGCCACGACTCTGTATTCGCTCTTGGTTACCTACATTATCGAGAGTATCAACCAGAGGGTTTGCGCGGCCGAGGACTCGGTGGCTAACACTATCTCCATTGTGGACTTTCCTGGCTTTGCTGACCACTCGTCCACCGGCTCTGTCCTAGACCAACTGCTGAACAATGCAGCCAATGAGTCGCTCTACAACACGTGCTTGCACAGCATTTTCGAGAAGACTGCTGAGATGCTGGAGAGCGAAGAGGTCAGTGTTCCGGCAACAAGCTATTTTGATAACTCAGATGCTGTCCGTGGCCTTTTGAAGCACGGTAACGGATTACTGGCTATTCTCGACGATCAAACACGGCGCGGTCGCACAGATGTACAGTTCCTGGAAAGCTTGCGGAAGAGATTCGAAAACAAGAACAAGGCCATCACCGTGGGCAGCGCCACATCAACAATGCCGGGTAGCAATTTCGCAACCACCAACCTTGCCGCTTCATTCACCGTGCGCCACTATGCTGGAGAAGTCGATTACCCAGTGCATAGTCTGGTGGAAGAGAATGGGGACGTTGTTTCTGGCGACTTGATGAATATGATCAAAGCCACCAAAAGCGATTTCGTCGCGAACTTGTTTGGTCAAGAAGCCTTGAACACCGTCAGCCACCCAGCCGAAAAGACAGCCATCGTCCAGGCCCAGGTCAGCTCGAAACCACTGCGGATGCCCAGCGTCTCGAGGAAGAAGCATGATCAGTTGCGCAGAATGGCAAGCCGAAGGGCAGATCGTTCTCCAGCCCCTCAGGAAGAAGAACCCCTGCCAGGTACAGAAGAAGCGAAGGTCAGGCGGACAAAGCCCACTGCGACCGGATTGACTCAGGGTGCTGCAGCACAGTTCTTATCGGCTCTGGACAACATTACCAAATCGCTGACCGCACCAAATGTGAACAATTACTTTGTCTTTTGTCTCAAGCCCAACGACAGACGGATAGCCAACCAGTTCGACAGCAAGTGTGTACGTCAACAAGTTCAGATGTTCGGCATTGCCGAAATCAGCCAAAGACTACGCACTGCGGATTTTACTATTTTCCTGCCTTTTGGAGAATTTCTCGGGCTGACAGACGCTGACGGCGGTGTCGTCGGGAGCGATCGTGAAAAGGCGCAGCTTGTTCTCGACAGTAAACACTGGCCCCCAAACGAGGCACGCATCGGAAATACTGGTGTCTTCCTGAGTGAACGTTGCTGGGCCAGCATTGCGCTTACAGGGTCTCAAGCAGCAGCTTACTTCGGAGGCGATATCGGCTCGCCGTCTAGACCTGATACCCCGGGTCATAATCCGTTCAGTGATTCCAAGGCCCGACTAGTTGGTTCAGCTGATGGAACTCCCGGGTCGTTTTATGGCGATGAAGCCAAGGGCGGTGGCTATTTTGGCAGTCGAGAACTTGACGCCAAGTCAGACGCTGGAGCATCCGCTTTTCATTCAGGGGATATGTTCCGCAACCTCGAAACCAAGGAGGAACTCGCCGAGAAGGGCAACAAGAAGAAGGTTGAAGAAGTCGATGTTGTTCCGGTTTCGTCTAGCCGGAAGCGATGGCTTGCTATCGTCTACTTCTTGACCTGGTACTTGCCGGACTTCGCCATCAAATGGATTGGTGGTATGAAACGAAAGGATGTCCGAACAGCGTGGAGAGAAAAGTTCGCCATCAATCTCCTGATCTGGCTCAGCTGTGGCTTGGTGGTCTTCTTCATCATCGTGTTCCCTGAGTTGATTTGTCCCAAACAGAATGTATACTCGGCCGCTGAGCTGTCAGCCCATGATGGAAAAGGCAAACACAGCGCCTATGTGGCTATTCGAGGACAGGTCTTCGACTTGGGGGCTTTCATGCCGAATCATTATCCAAAAATCATCCCGCAGAGCTCGCTCAAGAAGTACGCGGGCGTCGATGCCACCGGGTTGTTCCCAGTTCAAGTCTCGGCCCTCTGCCAAGGTAAAGACGGACGGGTTGATCCTACGGTCCAGCTTGACTATACTGCAACCAACATCAGTGGCACTGCGGCCGTCATCAGCTCAACAGACGCCAACCGGAAATACCATGATTTCCGCTACTTCACCAATGATTCCCGACCAGATTGGTTCTACGAGCAAATGATCATGCTCAAGGCCAATTATCGCAAGGGCAGCATCGGTTATACCCCTCAGTATGTGAAGACGCTGGCTAAAAAGTCGAAGTCGATAGCCATTCTGAATGATAGGGTCTACGACTTCACCACTTACAATGAAGGTGGGCGGAGTGTACGGGCTCCTCCTGGTGAAGAAGTGCCATCAGGGGTCGATACTGATTTTATGGACTCTTTGGTGGTCGACCTCTTTACCCAGCGAGCAGGCCACGACGTCACCAAGTATTGGAATGCGCTACCCCTTGACCCGGGCTTGAGGAGTCGAATGCAGCTTTGTCTCGACAACTTGTTCTTCGTGGGTGTAACGGATACTCGGAATTCACCACGGTGTCTTTTCGCCCGATACATTCTGCTCGCAGTATCGATTCTGCTGTGCAGTGTCATTGGCTTCAAATTCTTTGCCGCGCTTCAATTTGGAGGCAAAAATGTGCCTGAGAACCTGGACAAGTTTGTCATCTGCCAGGTGCCTGCCTACACAGAAGATGAGGACTCACTTCGCCGTGCCATTGACTCTGCGGCTCGCATGCGATACGATGACAAACGCAAATTGCTCATTGTGGTGTGCGATGGTATGATTATTGGCCAGGGCAATGACCGACCGACCCCTCGTATCGTGTTGGATATTCTGGGCGTTTCTGAAACCGTCGATCCAGAACCGCTCAGCTTCGAATCGCTTGGTGAAGGTATGAAACAGCACAACATGGGCAAGGTCTATTCGGGTCTCTATGAAGTGCAGGGGCATATTGTCCCTTTCATGGTGGTTGTCAAGGTCGGTAAACCATCCGAAGTATCTCGGCCGGGCAACCGAGGCAAGCGGGATTCTCAGATGGTCATCATGCGCTTCCTCCACAGAGTTCACTATAACCTGCCAATGAGTCCCTTGGAACTTGAGATGCACCACCAGATTCGCAACATCATCGGGGTCAATCCGACTTTCTACGAGTTTATGCTTCAAATCGATGCCGACACGGTCGTCGCCCCGGATTCGGCCACGCGCATGGTTTCGGCATTCTTGCGTGATACCCGCCTGATTGGTGTTTGTGGCGAAACGTCACTGTCCAATGCCAAGTCGTCCTTCATCACGATGATGCAGGTTTACGAGTACTACATTTCGCACAACCTCACCAAGGCGTTTGAGTCGTTGTTCGGCTCGGTGACATGTCTGCCAGGTTGTTTCACCATGTATCGCATTCGGGCGGCCGAGACAGGCAAGCCGCTGTTCGTCAGCAAGGAGATCATCCAAGACTATTCGGAAATCCGAGTTGACACCCTGCACATGAAGAATCTGCTCCATCTCGGTGAAGACAGGTATCTGACCACGCTGCTATTGAAGTACCATTCCAAGTACAAGACCAAGTACATTTTCCACGCTCACGCATGGACCATTGCTCCCGACAGCTGGAAGGTCTTCATGTCGCAACGGCGGCGATGGATCAACAGTACGGTACACAACCTGATTGAACTGATCCCGCTACAACAGCTATGTGGGTTCTGCTGTTTCAGCATGCGGTTCGTCGTGTTCCTAGATTTGTTGTCTACGGTTGTGGCGCCAGTCACAGTCGCATACATTGCATATTTGATTGTGCTCCTCGCAACAGAATCCGATGTGGTACCATTGACCGCATTCATCCTTCTGGGCGCAATCTATGGTCTACAAGCCATCATCTTCATTCTTCGTCGGAAATGGGAAATGATTGGCTGGATGATTGTCTACATCCTGGCGATGCCGGTGTTCTCCCTGGGACTTCCTTTGTACGCCTTCTGGCATATGGATGACTTCAGTTGGGGCAACACCCGTCTGGTCAGGGGCGAACATGGGAAGCAGATCTTGCTGTCAGATGAAGGCAAGTTCGGCCCTGACTCCATTCCCAAGAAGAAATGGGAGGAGTATCAAGCGGAACTTTGGGACGCGCAAACTCAACGAGACGATGCCCGCTCCGAACTGTCAGGTTACAGTTATGGCACAAAGTCTTATCTTCCCACTGGCTCTGTCTATGGTGGAGGGTACAATGACACACAGCACCTGATGATGGCGCCCTCGCGGTCCGCATCGCAGCTCGACATGCACCCTACGCCAATGTACGGCGGTGGAGGCGGGCACAATCAATCCCGGATGTCACTGGCCCCATCGGAGATGCTGGGCAGCCAGAGTAACCTGATGATGCCAAGCGGAAGGTCCGTCGCGGATATGGAGATGTCCGACCTGACCGGATTACCTACGGACGACATGCTCCTCAACGAGATCCGAGACATTTTGAGGACGGCCGACCTAATGACAGTCACGAAGAAAGGTATCAAGCAAGAATTGGAACGGCGGTTCAATGTCAACCTGGATATGAAGCGGGCGTATATTGGAAGTGGTATGTTTGAATCCCCGATCCTGTACCCTTTTACTCTACTGACTCTTTTCACTACAGCCACCGAAGCCATTTTGTCTGGGCAACTGTGACGGATCTGTTTGATTAGAATGCTCGCCATGTTCTATTTAGCAAGTCATGATCTTGTATATACTGCTTAATATAGGACGGAGTCTGTGGGGTTGACCAAAAGACGGCTCAGTATGTGGGCGGCATGCAGGTGGTAAATTTTCTATCTATACATATCATGAAAGTGTCTGCCATGGTCGATGGCAACATTTCAGCTGCGATGAAGATGAACATTGTTTTCAACCGCGCGGATGCGAGACCCAGTACCCTGTATCGCTATGGGCGGTCATGCCGTTTACAAGTTTGTTCATGAGGGTAGAACTGCTCCGACAGGTTTCTCATCGTATCTAGATTATGATTAGATCGAGAAGACGGGATGCACTCCGACATATGTGGCAATCATTGAGTGTCGATGCCTGTAGCCCAGCTTTGTGAGGATCCCCCTCGTGCGAACAGAGATTAGGGAGAACGTTTGGAACTTGACAGTACCTGGGTGGGGTCTTAGCATGCTGGATCCTGGGCTAAGGTTCTGCGGTGAATCTTGTTGAGATGAAGTATTTATGTATTATATATATATATGGTCTCAACAAAGTCCCAATTTTTGGGAGGCGGCTCGACTCCGTTTTGAGCAGCAGGCTCCTTTGGCTTTTCGCTATTGCTTTCTAGGGAAGGATTTGTCCCTTGATTGGGGGGTAGACCGATTCCTGGGAGAGTCTGTGGGATTTCCTGACATGATGAAGTAAGGGTCAAAGGAGGTAGAGAATGGTAAGAGTTCTCTTTCGGAAACGAGATGCTCGAGATGCAGCCAGGTGTGCTGAATCGAGCAGATGTAGATTTAGGGCACTGGAGAGACTTGCTGAAAGAGCCCAGTGGTATCCAGGGAGGTTGGCAAGAGCAGTTCTTATATCCGATGGTCCCGAATTCCGTGCCTGGGGCCTGTAGCGGCGCTTGTACCTCCTCGATTTCATCATCGGTGATGTTCGATGGATTACTGACGCCTACTCAACAATCAGTATGGAGCTCATCGAGTAACGAGACTTCTCATTCTTCGATAAATTCAGCGTACCCCGGTGAACTCTGGAGTACTTTGTGCTTCCAGAGTTCTTGTGGCTTAGTTTTGATCGCAGGAGGCCAAGTGATGTTGTTATGCGGTTCAATGTCGTCGATAAGGCAATTGAAAATATCGTTCGCCATGATTCCAGCTGCCCATGTCGAGGGTGGGAAAGAAAGCGCCCAGGAAAGGATGCCATTCGAGCTGAGGTGCCGTAATCTCTCGCATCTTATTTGCGTCCCTTTTTTTCTGGATCTCGTCTCATCAGAATCCAAGTCTGAAAATTCTGGACCGTGGAAAATCAAGAGCTGGTTTCTTTTGAAAGCTGGCGAGCAATCCTGAAGAGGCAAACATCGGTGTCAGGGTCCCGTTTGAAGCCATGAACCAACTTTCTTCGTCTTCGGATGCCGCTAAAGCAAAGAGAAATCAGAAGGGGCTGGAGTCCCTCGATAAGGCGGCTCGGAAGGCTGGAGAAGCGGCAAGGGAAGAAGGAACTACTCAGGACCAACATCATTCGCAAGTGCAAACAGGAGAATGAAAGTACCTCAACGGGGATGTTCCAGTTTGTCCTCAAATGCCTGGCGGAGCTGCCTATCATAGTCCTCCTTATCTCCTAGTTTCTTATTAATGAATGTACTCGTCTCGATGGTCCAATATTCCATCATAATTGTGTAAAACTCATCGTTCTCTTCGTGCCCGTTAGCGAGTATCGGCTGGATGTGGTCGTAGAACACTCGAACAAGTCCCATTGGACTGCGAAGAGCCAAAGTGTACCAGAAAGTCCCCATCTCCCATGCTTGTTTCATGACAACGGAAAGTCTGTCTCGAGGTTGAATGGAAAGCTCCTGCTCGGTTTCCTCCAAAACATCTAGGAACTCGCGACGAACGGGGTCGTATATCTTCTCGTCCATCTGGTCGATTGCCTGATTCGCTAGCCAGCGGGGAGGGTGGATCATCTCAACAGGACAGGAGAAAGCCCATTCAAGATCAATTAGACATGTAATATTCCAGTTTTCGTCAACAAAAATGTTACTCTGATGTAGGTCGGTCAGGCTGAAAACAAAAGGTCCGTAGCGGAGGTCACGTCGTAGAAAGAGTGATGAGGTAGCTTTCATGGCGGCCAAAGCCGACATCTGGTAGATGCAGTCTCCAGTGTCACTAACGCCGTTTGGCTGATGGCGTAACCGACTATCGTGTAAACAATTCAGCGTATCTATCACATAAGAGTCCACGGAAGTGTAGGTTAGATGACGAGGAATATCCACTGGGATCTGCTCATTCTCCAGCTGATGGATTACCAGCGACAGTGGCCTGTTAGCCAAATGTAAGAATCCGTTATTGTCCACGGTGAAGGAACCAATGCGCGGAAGTGGCACTTGAGCGATGTTCAACAGGATCCGGGACAGGCTTTGAAAGAGATTCCTGCGCAGCCCTTTCTCTTGATACCTCTCGTTCCATGTGCATGACAGCATTTGTCCCTCAGTTTTTTCTATATAATCGATCAGAAGATAGCCGGAGCCCAAGGAGTCAAAGCTTGCTCCTCCATGGCGAATGTATCTCGACGGGACGGGGAATTTCAGCCAGTTAAGCAGTCGGCGATAGAAATGGTGTGCGAGCCGGAGATGGAGAGGTAGGTGCTCGATGGCGGTAAACTAACGTGAGGGTAGCAAGTTTATGAAACCTGATTATGATCGTATTCCTCTTACCCTCTGACCTGTCGAGAGTCCGAACCCATATAAGCGAGGAATCGGGACGGATGGACAGTTTTGCTGAAGCCAGATGTAGGTGCCAGCTTCGCAACGAAGCTTTTCGTCCGCATTTTCTGGGCCGCCCACCTTATACGGTAGTGGAAATCGAATAATAACCCTTTTCGTTGGTTGTCCCTTCCAGTTGGAGATGGAGACCGGAATGCATAGATTGAAGCTGCCGTAAATCCACTCTTCTGGCTCTGCTATCTTGCATAGTTGGACATTCAATCCAAGATGATGCGCGGTGATTGTATGGATAACGGTCCGATTTCGATATAGCTGATTAAAGAATTTGCACCGTCGATCCCACGCCGCGAGTTTATGCAATACGTTCGATTCGTCGTCCTTCACATCCGAATAAGAAACTTGCTTATCAGAGAGTTGAAGTTTTGCCGGCATAACACCACTTGGTATTTATCGTATCGACTGATGGAGAAAAGAGGATTTACACAAAATTGGCACAGATAATAACAGTGGTACAACCCTGCGCGAAAAGCTTTCGGACTGTACGTTTACTTCATCATTTGGTTTTTGGTGGAAGGCGTCTGTAGACAAACATTCCTCGGTCTGCTTGTGAAGCTACTGTAGCTTCTAAGAACGGGCATTTAGACAAGCTCCTTACAGCTCGTCTAGTGCTTGGGCGCGCTCCCCCGTGCTCGGCCGGGTATCCGTCACGTGCCCGAGTAAAGCGGCCTCCTTAGCCTCGCTCCCCGTTCCTGAACGAGAATGGGTAAGGGATAAAGCACAGTTCAGGGCATATATTTAATTCCCGGAAACTCGTCGCCCTCGACTCTTTCTTCTACCGCTTTGCTCCTACGCGGACGACTATTTGGTCGACTGTGTGACAGGATTTGGCCCTCGAAATGACGGTCCGGGCCTTCTGTTATGACAAACATCGTAACCCTGGCAACACAAATACTCGGCTTCCAAGATGTATCTCGGACCCCTTTAGCTGAAGCTACAAGTGTGGCACTGACTACCTAGGACTAATTCGATATCTTGGCCTTCGTTGAGCGAGTGCACTTTGTCATTTATCACCACCTCTTCTCTCGCACGTGTGGTCCGGACCGACCATATTGAAAATGGATTCTGCCGATTCTCAAGATATGATTGTTGTTCACCCACCTCCAGGGACAAGATACCTAAGTCACGGGTTTGCCGCCCATCTCTACGTCACACTCGACCGCGAATTCGTTATCAAGCGACCAAAGGGTTTTGTTGGGTACGATGACAGCTGGGATATCTTCCGTGGGCTTGTTGATAATGAGAGGAAGATCTATGAGCGCCTAGGCGACCACGACGGAGTCATTGGATACCGTGGATACGATGAGACCAGCGGATCGATCCAGCTGGTATGTGCCAGTGATGGCGACCTGACCGATTTCATCCACAACAGACCGAAGCCGGACCAGACGATTCGTTCCCAAATGATGAGACACATAGCCGACACTCTCCTCTACATTTATTCCCGCAACGTCGCTATACAGGACATCAAGACCGACAATGTGCTCATGCACCACGGAATGCCAAAGATCTGCGACTTTACCCAAGGCATCCTATATCCCCTGACCGAGAAGATGCGGGATGTTTGCCCTAAAGAGGTGTTGAACAGGGATCTTCTTGGGCTCGGTTGTGTTCTTTACTCCATCTCTACCTAGGACGTCTTCAACTACGATTTCGACGAGAAAGGCCGCTGGCCCACTTCCAACGACCTGAAGCCGACTGTAAATGTCCAGTTTGGGAGGGTTATCGAAAATTGCTGGTACGGAGGGTATAGTTCTCTTGAAGACTTTCACAAAGATATCGCCCGGAGTTGAGACAAAGTGAAGAATGCCGAGTCTACCGAAATAGGGGTGGATGTGGATTCTCCCAACAGGGGGGATTTTCTCAGTGTCCTACGGCGGAACATGTCCCAAGGCACAAAAAGGTTCGATTCTGAAACTGTACAGCAAGGAAACCTAGCCGAATGATGAGGTTGAAAATGCCACCAACCAGATCTCGCCCGTCTGTGAAGACCGGTAGACGCCGTGGTGGGAGGCAGAGGCCGTGTGCAAGTCCAGACTGAAGACAAGCTTATTAAACATCTCTGGACGGACGATGTACGGACATCAAAATGATTTCATCGCTATTCATCGAAAGGACCGCACCGGAAACGCCTGGTTCGTGTCGGCAAAAGAGGAATCCCGAGCGGTGACACCGTCTCGATATGCCATTGTTGCTCGAGATGAGGGAGAAAAGGAATGGGTAGCATCAAGTTGGGGCAGGCCAAGTGCCGTCACGACATACAATTCCACCGCGTACTGTGTCGCACCGTGTCGCGCCGCTATACAGTTTCCAGGAAATGGAGGCAGCGGAATAAGGGAAGGAAATCTGCCCGGTTCCCCAACTCCTGTCTGAAACAGATGCCCAGCCGAGAGGCACATGGGCTTAGAGCGACTACCTTACCTACCTGTAGGTAGTAACACTGGTTGTTTTTTCATGCAAGCAGGATGTGCATTGCGCAAGAAGTTCTTTCTAGTCAAAATATCCCTCCTGGGAGATGCGGTGGGTGCCAGGCACCCTGCGTTAGTTACCTGCATAGCACATGGCTGGGGACTAAGGCAGCAGCGGAGGGAATCGTTCATAAAAGAAAACTTCCGGTGTAGCAGTTGGCGACCTGCAAGCGTATACACGCTAGTAGTTGGCGGTGGGCTCATACACGCATCTCCCTGAAGGTGGGTAGCCTCTCGACCTGGACTACAGTAGTCGTGATAGATCGTGATGGAGCCCGGACAAGAGATCGCAAGGGAAGGGGTTCAACGGATAATCGAGTCTCGTAGGATCGAGTTCTTCTTTCCCATGCAGTCGACCTGCCTGTTGGTAGGATCCTCAAAGTATTCTTCGGCTGGGTTTTGCTGGGCCATTGCGGCCTTCCCCAGATCCAACATTGTAAGCTGACGGCGGCAAGGCACATAAGGTAGCACGGGGTGTCCGTTGTCGTTATGCACGACCTTGTGTGCAGATGCTTCTTCGAAGGCTTCTAGAAAAGAGAGGCCGGCACGGGGGGGAGCCGCACTTGACTGATAATTTGACAGAGAGAGAAAAAAATGGAGACTAGCGAGTGACCTGGTTCACGCTCCACTCACAACAAGTTCTCCGTGTACAGAAGGGAAATATGGAGGGTCCACGGGGACCCCAGCGGCGTGTTACCAGAGTACAATGGTCGTAAGCGGCCGCTTGAGATCTCACTAAAGCTCACAAAGTGGGCGCGCCGGCAGCCTATTTGTCGAACGTGGTCGATGTCGCCTGTCTGTGATGTTCTCGCGATGTTACTCTGCCATTCTGATTTTTCAGGCCTGTTTCGTCAGCTTATAGGCGCTCAAGATGCGCCACGCTGCAACCCTCACAGCCTAAGGTAGGAGATGGGGTATCTTGCGACCTCGTAGCGAATTGAGATCTTTGCTGTCCCTGGCCCCATGGGGACGGGTCTCGCTCACGCCGCGCCCATAGGTATCATCAGCGGGAGAGCTGATTGTGCATTCGATGCGGCCACTCCGCAGAATACGTATACAGAACGTCTGTCACTTCTCGAACTGAAATGCCAGTGTGTGGAGCCCCCGAAAAGCCCCAGGGTCAGTTGTGCCGGCGATGCGCCGGATTAGGAGTCGGCTGCGGGGTGGGGGCGGCCTGCCAGTAATTTGGTGGGTATCAGGCGGTCCTGGGAAATATACTCATCTCTTTTGAGCTTTCTTCCTTGCTTCTGGTCGAAAGTCAAAGCGAGTGGGTTGCCACTGCCATTGGATCAAGCCGAACGCCTCTGATCAAAGCCAATGTACGATGACTTAGCGATCCTGAGCGGTCATACAGCTCAGCCGCTTCCCCCTCTCGGATCCTGTACCACCGCTCCGTACTTGGCTCTTGGAAATGCAGTCATGATCAGCAGAAGACAGCTAAGGTCAGCTCAGATCGAGGTTGGCTTCTGTAAGTGTCACTCCACCATCTCTGCATCCCTTTCGATCCAACGTCATGGCTGCGGGAGGTTCCTCCATGTAGCAGGAAATCTCCATTATTGGTTAGGCGCCCAATTGGGGAGGCATCGTTCTAGTCTTGGTACCAATGTAGGGTGCTGTAACATCGGTAAAAGGATAGACGTGGTCAGGGTTATCGAGGGATGGGTCCGGTAGGATTAGAGGTAACCTCAACGCTCCGAGCAAGCGTGCTTGCAACTGTGCCCTGCGAGGGCCCCGGAGGGAGACTAGGAGAAGGGAAAAGTCAGTCGTCTGGGATGATGATATTAGTGCTCGCAACAGGCGTCGAGGTCCACAGCGAGCTTGACTAGTCCTGAAAGCCAAACCGGACCTGTCAATCTTGCTAGAGCCTGGCTGGCTGCGACTGTGGCGTCGGGGTCCATTTCCTGACTGCGGGGGATAGCTCGGAGCGGGCTGAAGTCGGTCGAGGCTTGGTGCTCAGTAGTGGAAAATTGATTTTGCTTGTTGTGAGGAAGAGCCTGATGAGGAATGCGACAGTCGATAGACGCCCAGCTTGACCGAGGATTTGCAGTGGTTCAGTTGCTCCGAAGCTGAGAATGGCATTGTTAGCCTTCCCCCGGGGGTGTTTCGGTGGCCTGCGAATCGTCACCGTTCGACGACTTGCGCGCATCACACACACTGGCACATCCTTTTGACGGCCACCAATTAATGGAGGCAACCTCACATCCCTGTCTTGTCCCCAGAGGCCAGATCCCCAAGTTTGTAAGTTGTAGTCGATGACACCCTGCGAAAACCCACATCGCAGCTTGTGACTCGTGGGCCCCGTCGGTGGCTTGTGGTCGCGAGACCTCGAGGAAGGAATTCCATCCATTGAGAGGGGCAACCGGCGGTGGTGAGTATGTCTAGCCAGGCAGTGAATGTCGGCCGAAATTGTAGGTGAATGCCATGTCACAACGCGAGCCCAATCACGGGCGCGGAGCCCTTGTCGGATTGGGAATTTTTGAGATCACCTGGTATAGCAGAACGCTGCCGTCGTCAGGTCGAGTCGGTCGTGGTGGCCAGTCCCTCGCAGCGTGTCATCCATCCATCGCAGGCACCGTGCCAGTAGCAGCACCAGTGACAGCTGCTGCTCGGTTGTCCTTTCACTCCCAAACTCTCTTTGTTGTCCCAAGCTCCGGTCGTCTGCTTTAAGAATCCCGCCTTCCTCCCTCCTCGGCCTCCCGCGAGCTGGCTTCTCTTCGTCTCTGTCCTCACACTGGCAGACAATTGAAGTGTCTCTTGCTCCTTCATTTCTTGGTCCGACCATCCTCCAGCCCTGTGAGGCATTGAACGCGTTACTCAGTCGCCCAACATGCCGGGCGAAGTGCGAACCCTCTCTACCACCACCGATGTTAACCGCATCGAGGCTCCAGTCACCTGGAAGGCCTACCTCATCTGTGCTTTCGCATCCTTCGGTGGTATCTTCTTTGGCTACGATTCAGGTTACATCAACGGTGTCAATGGCTGCAAGGAATTCATCCACGTTATCGAGGGCCCTGATGCCACCGCGCTCAAGTCGTCTCACCAGTCTCTGATCGTCTCTATTCTCTCCTGCGGAACTTTCTTCGGTGCCATTATTGCCGGCGATGTGGCCGATATGATCGGAAGGAAATGGACTGTCATCATGGGATGTATCATCTATGCAGCTGGTGTTGTCATTCAAATGGGTACAGGTCCTGGCCACGGGCTCGGTGTCATTGTTGCCGGTCGATTGGTCGCAGGTTTCGGCGTGGGCTTTGAAAGTGCTGTTGTCATCCTCTACATGAGCGAGATCGTAAGTCTATGCACCTTTCTGCGATTCCAGCTGCCTTGCCTCTATCAAATCGCGTCAACTGCGCCCCGACTGTTTCAGCCCACTAACAAGGTACTACCTACAGTGTCCCCGAAAGGTGCGAGGCGCTCTCGTTGCGGGCTACCAATTCTGCATCACCATCGGTCTGCTCTTGGCTTCCTGCGTTACCTACGGCACCGAGGACCGTACCAACACAGGCGCCTACCGCATTCCTATTGCAATCCAGTTTATCTGGGCCATGATCCTGGGCGGAGGACTGTTGTTCCTACCCGATTCCCCTCGGTACTTCGTCAAGCGAGGCCATATCCAGAAAGCTATCAACTCTCTGTCTCGTCTCCGTGGCCAGCCCGCAGACTCGGAATACATCCAAGTGGAACTTGCCGAGGTCATTGCCAACGATGAATATGAACGGGCGATGATCCCTAGCACTGGCTGGTTCTCCAGTTGGGCAAATTGCTTCAAGGGCGGTCTTTGGAACCAACAATCTAACCTTCGTCGTACCATCCTCGGAACTTCCCTTCAGATGATGCAACAATGGTAAGTCTCGCTCCTACTGCAGAATACTCGTTCCGTGACTGACAGAGCACACTAGGACTGGTGTGAACTTCATCTTCTACTACTCGACCCCTTTTCTGCAATCAACCGGTGCAATTAAGAATACCTTCTTGATCTCCTTGATCTTCACCCTCGTCAATGTCTGCTCCACCCCGATCTCGTTCTACACGGTTGAGAGATTCGGTCGTCGCCCGCTTTTGATCTTTGGAGCTTTGGGCATGTTGATTTGTCAGTTCCTGGTCGCCATCATCGGCGTGACGGTCGGTTTCAACAAGACTCATTTGAACGCTGCGGGCGAGAGCCGAGCCAATAACATCCCGGCCGTCAATGCCCAGATCGCATTCATTGCGATCTTTATCTTCTTCTTTGCCTCCACTTGGGGTCCTGGTGCCTGGATCCTGATTGGCGAGATCTTCCCTCTTCCGATCCGCTCCCGTGGAGTTGGCCTATCTACTGCCTCCAACTGGCTATGGAATACGGTAAGCCGGCCCATCGATAGCATTAGCTACGGCAAGGGATTTTCTGCTGACATTGGTACAATAGATCATCGCTGTCATCACGCCTTACATGGTTGGTGAAGACCACGGCAACCTTCGCTCCTCGGTGTTCTTCATTTGGGGCGGTCTCTGTACTGCCGCGTTTGTCTACTCGTACTTCCTTGTCCCAGAGACCAAGGGTCTGTCACTTGAACAGGTTGATAAGATGATGGAAGAGACCACTCCTCGCACCTCTGCCAAGTGGAGACCCACCAAGACATTTGCCGAGCATATGGGTAGCGAAGGTGGTGTGCTCAACAAGGAGATTGTGGAGCAAGCCGAACGCAAGGGCTCCGTCTTTTAAGAGCTGAGACATCAGTACACAGAAAGCATGGAGATATTGTGCATTGGCAAGGGTGACAGAGGGTGTAGATGGATCATTGCATGTGATCGATGTTCGGACCTATTGGGCGCCCGGAAATAGTTGCACAATTCGTGTTCCTGTTACCAAGAGTATGGTGGTATCATCAGTAGTAGGTATGGGGTTCGAGAACAGCATACACGAGACTACTGTTACCAGACAGGCAATTACTAGTAGGTAATCTAGTGAATGTACTGGTTGCAGTCGATCAAGGTCAACTTTCGGTGTCTTTGGTTTCGTGATCCTATTCCCTTTGTAGAGATCATCGGATGGTCGTCCAGTCCTACCTCGACACTACCTAAGGTACGAGGGGACGGCTGCTAAAGTCAGCTAGGGAAATGAGGTCAATGTACTGTAGAGTCAAGTCCTTCAGCACTTCTCATGGCATCGGCGGCATCGGCAGCATCATCGTCATAATGACAAGACACTTGAAGGCCAGCCCGCCATGATTCTCAAATGGTACTGGCACATGATGATGTAAAAATCGGATATTGCGGAATCGTAAGGTAGGTCGATACTTTATATCTGGCGCACTCACTGGCGCAAGGAGAAAGAGTTTAGTACACGTAAGTTTCCGCTGGCATTATAGTATGGCAGGGCCTGCCAGGTTCTTTGTTTACCTACCTTAGGTAGGACCTTAGGTAGGCGGGTACCTGCTAGATAGGTAGTTCTTTCTAGCCATTGTGAGTCTCGTGGACACATCAAGTACCTGTCCTGTATCATGCCCATGGATAGTATTTACGTGGACCTGGGGTATGTATGTACTAGTAGGTAGGTGATCCTTGGGGGTAAATATCGGTAGGCAGGCTTGCGAATAGATTAGATGCACTGGCATGGATAGAATCATAGAAATGTAATGTTTTCACTCAAGGTATCCGAAAAAGGGTGGATGGACGTTGTACTCTTACTTTAGTAATACCCGTAGGCTCAATCAAGACTGCCACTGCCAGTGGCACTCTTGAGCCATCTGGTTGATACCATTCACACAGGCAGTAAATAAGTCGGTAGGGTAGGTAGGATGCTCGAGGACGGGACTTCTTCTTCTCCAGATGCCTAGGCGTTGACGTACTGTAGCACATATTTACAAAGAAGACATCGTGGCAAAGACATCAGCAAAACAGACCAACCGGATCGAGATCAGTAGGTTAGGTAGGAATCATTCGTCTTTGTTCAAGTTGTTGTTCTTGCCGCTATTGGCATTATTGTCAATTTTTTATTGTTACTGTGTACCGTGTACCGTGTACGTGTATGGATGAGGGTATGATTGCGTTTCATACTCTAACCGCTCGTAGCACCCACCTCGGCTTTACTGACCTCTCCCTTCTGCGTGGTCGTCTTGGGTTCTTCGCCGAGCTTGACTTCCAGCACGGCACATCGGCCCTCCTGGACGGCAGTGACGGCCTGGGGCAACAGCTCGAGCAATTCGGCCACCGTGCTCACGGATCCAGCCCAGGCATGACCACCCGTGGCGGCCTTGGCGATGCCGGCATAGTCGGGTGTGGGCTCAAAGCTGATGTTCAACGCCTTGTTGTCGACTTTGCTGCCTTCGCCGTGCGGGTGGACCAGGAGCATGGACCGGCGCGGGGCGTTCCAGCCTTTGTTGTTGAGGACAATGGTCAAGATGGGGATATTGTACCGTTGCGCGATCCAGTATACAGAGCCGGGGACAGAGAACATGAATGTTCCGTCACCGACGATCTGGCAGACGAACTTGCCCTTGTTGGTGCCAGTCTTGTCGCCTCCTTCAATGTCTCGATGTTCAAAGTCCGAGGCTAGCTTGATTCCCAGTGCGCCACCGCCAGACCAACCGAGACCGCCACCGCCACAGTTGATCCATGATTTCGGCAGCACGGGAGCAATCTGGTCGGCGATAAAGGTGGTCAGAGTCACGGCTTCAATGGCGAAAATGGTGTCTGCGGGCACGTTGGCTCGGATTTGGCCACCCAGAACATGAGGGTTGATGGAACTGTTCTTGGGGTCGGCGGGAAGTTTTGCCAGCTCTTTGAATGAGTTCCATCGTGCCTCGTACGCTTCTTGTCTCTTCTGGCGGGCTTTGGCATGGGCGGCATCCGACAGAGCGGAAACCAGTTGGGGCTTAGTCGTAAGATAATCCGTGATCTGCGTAAATGCTGTCGCCGAGTCCGCCTTGAACCGAGCATATGCTGGAATGTAGAAGACTGGCATCTGCTGCTTCAGAGGGTCCACGTCGATGTGGACGATCCTGGCGTCCTCGCGAGGCTTGCATTGCGTCGGGATCCACGGCACGTCACAGTCAACCACAAGGATGAAATCCGCTGTGGTGATGGCGGGGTCGGAGCCAAATCTCAAGCCCAAGGCTGCCGGATGGTCGGTCGGGAAACACATATCACAACCACCGGTATCGAGAACTCGAAGTCCAGGCACTGTATTTGCCAAAGCAATCGCCGCGGCCACAGAATCCGTATTACGACCGGTGTAACCCACGATCAGCAGAGGCTCATTGGCCTTGACGAGCTCTTCGGCAATCATCTTGACCCCATCCTCCGGCAAGGCGCCGAGTGTGACAGCTTTCCACACCTCTTGATTTAGGTGATACGGCTCAATTTCCTCTTCCATAGGTTCTCTTGCACCGCACAGATACACCGGTCCCTGTGGGTCACTGGTTGCAAACTGCAAAGCGCGGTTGACCATCTGCTTGACATTGCGGCCGCCCTTGATCTCGCCAGTATATCGACAATATTGAGCGACGATCTGCTTCTGGTCCGGAACGTCTTGGATCCAGTGGATGTATTCAGTTCTTGACCCTCGATACTCGCCATCAATCGTGTAGGGAGACAGTCCGGCGAAGATGAGAACCGGCGCTCGTCCGCACGAGGCGTTGTGCACCGCCGCAGCTAGACCTTGCGTACCGACATCAACATGCACGATCACGCATTGAGGTTTGTTGGTCAATCTCGCCATGCCGTCCGCCATTGAGAGGGCAACCATCTGTAAAGACGTGTTTCAGCATTGCGCCCCGACACTTCCGCCAGTATCTTGTGTTCGCATACCTCGTTTGGACAGGTAATTATCCGTGGGAAGTTCCCCTGCTTCTCATTTTGTCCTTTGACAATCGCTTCGATGATCGAGGGATGGTCTGAACCCAAGTTGACGAAGACATGGGTAATGCCGGCCTGCAAATCGACTTAGTTGGCTGCGTGTTGTTCGAAGTATCTGCGACAGCGACGAACCTCCCAGACAGCCTCAAAGAATGCGAAGGACGTGGTATAACTACTGTTCCGGAGGTCAGCTAAGGTCATATCTACCGGTAGAGGAGGGTTCGACGTACGCATTTTCCTGAGATCCCATATCGGCGTTGGTTGCAGGCTTTGCCCGCAGTTGCTATGGGATTGATCTAGTTTGTTTGATGTCTCGTGTGACTGTCTCTTCAATGGAAATCTGCCTCGAACGATATACCCCGCGACAAGAGGGGAGGGCAACAGGTCGTCCTAGGTCTAAGCAAGAGGAAGTAGGAGATGAATCCGGAATGTCAATACCCTTTTGGTAACAGTGAATTGGGGAGGGTTCCAATGTGAGGACATTCGCGTTCGGTTCATGAAGCAAGTGCAAAGCGGTACACCTCCGTCGTGGGACCCATTCGAAGCCAGCCAGCCATACGGAATGGCCAGTTATGACTCCCTTGTAGCATTAGGGCCATCAATCCGGCGGAGGTCCGAAAGGAGATGCTCGGGGAATGGATCGAAGGGCAAAGAGAGCGGGACTTTGTTGCCGGGGAGTGTGGGGAGGCTTGAACATATTTGAGATAATCACTCGCACTCCTGTGCTCTGCTGCGCAGTCTGACATGAGCAGGACTATCCGTCTTGGTGAGTGGGAGTGGTGGTAGTGTAGTCGTGTTGTAGGTAGCTATACGCATTACTGCATTTTATTATTCGGCATCCGATCTCGGCAATCGTGTTGTAGGTAAGCATTGACCTCAGCTTCGGCTGTCGCGCTTTTGTTCCACCGGAAGCCCCGGTTACGGTATTTGTTGTTAGGTATGTACCTTATCCTCGGCTGGACCACAGCTTCATTGATCCTTCGCCATCCTTGCCTTAGTAGTGGTTCAAGTAACGACTGGATGGGTGTGTAGACAACAGATCACACTGCCACGTATACAATGGTTGTACAATGTAGTACAAGGCTGAGAGATCCGCGAATTCGCTCTCAATAGGGATGGTCAGAATCGTTCCAACTAGCCACGATGCACGTAAATACTACCTAGTACTATCGGCTCTGTCCCACCTCGCGTGTGCGTGTGCCTTGCAATGTCAAAGCCACAGCAAACGAACAATGAAGTCCTCATTCTAATACATGCGCAGTCCGTATATGATAGTCTATTGCAGGTACTTGGCAGCCTCATTATTGATCCTTCGCTGGACCTTCCTCTGGTCGTCTGGGCAGCCTTGGGAGCCTCCGTTGTGCTCATTGCTCAGCTTGAATTCCTTTCCATCGCAAAAGACTTTCTTCTTCCTCATCCCACTGATCTTCTCGTTGGGGCTCCTTTTCGTCTGCGTTGTCGTCCAAAATAGAACAAATGTTGATGATCGAGCTCGATTAGATAATAGCCAGCCAGGAAATATGCACTCAACGACCCTCGAATTCCACAAGATCTAAAGAGAGAGAGAGAGCTTTCAAGTTGGGCACCGACAAATAGAGAACATCTGTGTCGCGGAACTCAGCGTGCTGCGTGCTGGTTTGAAGATGTAGGGGCATCGTTGGAGGGCAGTTTTCTCCACAGGTCGTTGCATGTCGCGCAGATGGAACATGCTAAATCAACTGCACATCGGTCAGTTACGTTCCATCCAAACTCCCGGAGTTGAGCCTGACCCTCAGCAAGGATCTAGGGGACTTGAGAGCTTGTATCCCAACACTGGGCCTTGTCGCTCGTGGTGTGTTTGTCAGTCAGTTCGGGGATCACATGTGGGCATATGAATGGATAGTCAGATGGAAAAGAGCAATGCAAATTCCTTCGTCGTCGGCGATATCACCGAGTCTTCCAGGCGACCACGAAAAGCTCCTAGAGTACTCTGTCATCCAGAAGCAATAAGTATAATCGCTATCGACTACCCCTTCGCCGATATGTTTGCGCAACAAGCGTTCAATGGCATCGCTATTCGACAATTGGACATCATGGTGGAGTTTTTCTGAGTCGTGTAGCTTGCGCCATTCGAAACTTGAAACAGCGGCGATATCCTCATTGTGAACAACAAGTCCCTCAGCATCTTGCCGAGGGTCCCAGTTGATGCGATACTGATGATGGGGGAAATCGGCAGTCGGTCTACAATGGTAGATGGTACAAAGTTCTATTTCTTCTGCCGGTCTTGGTATCTGGGCGAGAACAGGACAGCTGAACAAGTTTTGTACGTCGTAGAATAGCTTGACACGCAAGGGTTCCAATGCTTGCAGGAAAACTCGTCCAGGAAGACCATAGACAACACAGGGGCCGCGAAGATGGATTGAGAGTTTGGATGGCGATGTCCAACTCCTGGCACACAACCATCCTAGGAACAATCGTGCGTTTAGTGAGCAATTGTGCAGGTGAAGCAGCCTCAAGCTGGGCATCTCCGTGAGCCTTGGACAAAGTTCGGCATAGACAGAGTTGATCACTGCTCCCGAGCAACCATGCACGTGGCCGTAAAGCCCCACGAGATCTGCCGCAAGGGTGGTCGGTTGGATGAGCATGCGCTCCGCCTGAGCGTCATAGCTTTCGTCAAGGTCGGGGTCTTCCGGAATCTGCGAATCGTCCACATCCGATGCCGAGTCGTCCGAGTTGCTCGGACCTAGCCACAAGTCACGCATGAATTGCATGTGTCCCGGTCCTGCTTCCACGAAGGCAGGCTCGACATGAAGCTCGTGCAGATTGGGCAGGGAAGCGGCGGCCGTAAAAGCACCTTCAAGCACATTCATGACACTGGGTCCCTCAATCTCCTCGTTAAACCATGGCACTCGACAGAATTTGACGCTTAGTGTGAGAGACTGCACTGTCGGATGGCTGAATTCACGCCGATAAGCCCCCTGTCCCTGTATCATCGTTTTTGCGATGAAAAACTGCCAGTGGGAGGCCCAAAGGTCCACAGTCATGCTGGTGATTGACGCGCATTCTGTGAACATCGACATTTCGTCCCCCAAGCAATGGAAGGGAAACGTATCGCCACCCTCCACCCACATCCTGGGTTTGAGACTCCACGTGGAAGGTTTGTAGATGATGTTTGAATCCTGTTGGACCTTGCTCCTGACGTGAGCATCGAGGCAAGCTGTTTCCAGATCAAAGTCGTCAGAGAGAACCAATTCACGGCAGTGGCGAAGAGACCACATGGCTTCCACCATCTCTGGTGTCTTGATTGAACCGGTCAGTCCGTAGCGCTGTTCAGCAAGAAATTTGAACGCGCCGTAGAAGCGAAGCATCTCTGAATGTGGCAGACCACGGAGAAGATTTTGATATCTGTGACTCCACTTGTCTGCGTCCAGGCAGTCTTGTGGCAACACAACAGCATTCCACACAAGACGCTGGACGAGGTCCGCCTTGGGAGAAGTCGCGATGTCAATGAGATGTGACCAGGAATCATACCAGTTGTTAACGTAGACTGTTGAGAAGAGATAAGGGGTTCCAATTACGGACCATTGCCGACAAACTAGCCGGAAGGTCTTTAGGGCCAATGTCCCTAGAGAACCTAGAATCTGATCCCAGATCTCCGTCGGCAGGTGGGTTGGCGGTTTCCCAGGGTGGGATATACCACTCGCCGAGCCACTGTCACATTGTTGAGGCTCAGAGGTGTCAAAGTAAGTGTTTGCTACTGGTCTGAACGGAAGGAGTGTCTGCCGAGTCTGCAAGGGGGGTGTGCGGCGTTGTCCTTGAGCAATGCCTATATCAGTCATGGTTAATGTGCCAGTAGGTCGGGATTCCTAGAAAGATATCAGAAGCGGGCTGTCAGAGGGCTGGTGTGCCTTTGAAAGCTAAGTGAGCTGAACAAGCGCAACAGACGATTTCACGGGCACGAACGGAAATAAGTAGACAATAAAAAGTGCAACATTTGCTGACGTGGCAGAAGGAAGAACATCCGCTGCCTCTAGCCTGACCGACAGTACTAACTGCCTGACACAGCCGAAGCCTCACCGCAACAACGTGTGGTCGTAAATTCAGGTGTCGAGGTATCGAAATTGTCCTGCCAACCTTGAGTTCAAGGCATCGAGGAGAGATTGTTCTATGTGACCAATCAACCCGGCAGCAGCGCCAAGCCACTTTACGCGCTGCGCGACGCGGCAACGACGCGACGCGTGCCGTGTTCTACTGACCAAATTCGAGTGTCCTTAACCTCCTTGTAAAACATTGATCCTCTACACCCCCCAACAACCCGTGCCAAAGTCATTTGCTATCATGGCATTCACCACGAACGAGCTTCGCGATGAAGCGATTCGTGACAGGATCCGCCTTGCTACGGAATTCCTTGATCCGACAGATGCGGCGGCAAGATCCTATCGTGCGGATATTGTGTTGATGCTGAACCGTGGCTTGCGGCGGCTGGTTGTGAGCATCGACGACATCCGAACTCATTCTCGAGAACTCGCCGACGGCATTCTCTACAGGCCATTTGACTATTCACCCGCCTTCGATGCGGCATTAAAGAACGTCATTGCCACAATACCAAATCGTGCACCTTTCGAACAAGATGAAGACAGATTATACTATGTGGCGTATTCGGGCTCATTTGGAGAGAACACATGCAATCCTAGGACCCTCGGAAGCTCGCTACTGAACAGAATGGTGTGCCTTGAAGGCATAGTGACCAAGTGCAGTTTGGTCAGGCCAAAGGTCGTCAAAAGTGTGCACTGGAGCGAGAAGACACAAAAATTCCTTTACCGTGAATACAGAGATCAGACTATGAGTGCCAATGCGCCGGCCAGTCTCAGTGTCTATCCACAGGAAGATGGAGATGGGAATCCGGTATGGCTATGTCCTGCCGGGACTTTGGACATCATGCTAATCTACATGTAGTTGATCACCGAATACGGGTATTGCACATACCGCGATCACCAAACCATCAGCATACAAGAAATGCCAGAAAGAGCCCCGGCTGGTCAGCTCCCCCGTGGCGTCGATGTCATCATGGACGACGACATGGTAGACCGTGTTAAGCCCGGCGACCGGATACAACTCGTTGGGATTTTCAGGTCTTTGGGGAACAGGAATGCAGGCTCTGGATCGGCCATCTTTCGCACATTGATTTTGGCGAACAACGTTGTGCTACTATCTTCGAAATCCGGAGGAGGGATTGCACAGGCCATAATCACGGATCAAGATGTCAGGAACATCAACAAGTTGGCGAAGAAGAGCAACGTTTTCGAGTTGCTCTCGCAGTCATTGGCACCCAGTATATACGGCCATGACTATATCAAGAGGGCCATCCTGCTCATGCTGCTTGGCGGTATGGAGAAAAACTTACCCAACGGCACTCACCTGAGGGGTGACATCAACGTCCTTATGGTTGGTGACCCTTCTACAGCCAAGTCTCAGCTTCTGCGCTTTGTCCTCAACACTGCGCCCCTAGCTATCGCAACTACCGGTCGAGGCTCCTCAGGTGTTGGTCTCACAGCTGCAGTAACGTCCGATAAAGAGACCGGAGAGCGACGCCTCGAGGCCGGTGCCATGGTTCTCGCAGATCGAGGAGTTGTCTGTATTGATGAATTCGACAAAATGAGCGACATTGATCGTGTCGCAATCCACGAAGTCATGGAACAACAGACTGTTACGATCGCCAAAGCAGGTATACACACATCTTTAAATGCAAGATGCAGTGTTGTTGCAGCAGCAAATCCCATTTTCGGCCAATACGATAGCAACAAAGACCCACACAAAAACATCGCTCTGCCCGACTCGCTCCTTTCGCGTTTCGACTTGTTGTTCATTGTCACCGATGACATCGATGACAAGCGGGATCGGGAGATCTCCGAACACGTGCTTAACATGCACAGATACCGTCAGCCAGGAACAGAGGAAGGAGCTCCGATCCGGGAACAAGCCGACCAGATCCTGGGGGTTGGTCTACAAGAGGAACAGAGCTCCACCCAGACTACGGAGGTGTATGAGAAGTATAATGCTATTCTTCACTCCGGGTTTTCCGTCACCGGCACCGGCAGAAACAGAAAGAAGCAAGTGCATCCGGTCAGCATGCCATTCATCAAAAAATACATCCAATATGCAAAGAGCAGATGCAAGCCGGTCTTGACGAGGGAAGCCAGCGAATATGTCGTCAGTGCATATTCCAATCTGAGGAATGAACAGATCAGGGCCAATGAGCGAAGGACCAGTCCGATCACCGCAAGAACACTCGAGACTCTGATCCGTTTATCGACGGCACATGCCAAAGCTCGACTTTCCAGCCGTGTGGAGGAGAGTGACGCCGTTGCAGCAGAGGAAATCCTTAAATTTGCCCTTTTCAGAGAAGTGGCTGTGAAGGAAGATGGGCGAAAGAAGAGACGCAAAACTCGCAATGCCACCGAGGACAGTTCTGACGAGGATGAGGATTCATCCGACAACAGCAGCGATGATGACGTACCATATCGCGGCACAAGGCCATCGGCTAACAGGGGAATCAAACCACAAACACGAAGTCAGCTGTCTCACCGGGCCCATGGCAACTCGAATCCAAGAAGTTCCACGCAAGTGAATGGACAACCCTCTGCCCAAGCTGATGAGTCGGATGAGTCGGATGGGACACAGAGGACGTCGCAGCAGCAGACAGGAGCAGAGTCACAGCTGTCTCGCATGAGCATTGCCAGCTCCATGCCAAGTTCCCAGCTGCCGTCCACGCAGGCTGATTCACAATCCCAACAAAACACCACAGCAGAAGCTGCCGCAAGCATTTCGCCACCACGGCTCGCTTCGTTCCGTGCGATTCTCGGCTCTCTGACCCAGACCTCGCTTTTCCAGAATGACATGGCAACTGTTGCAGACCTTTCTGCAGCTGTCAACCACCGAATTTCCGAGAGGAATGAACCGGAATTCTCTGACGATGAAATCACTGCTGCTTTGAGGTCGATGGCAGAGGCCAACCAAATTATGTTTCTTGAGGAAAGTGGCGAGGTGTACACATTGTAGTTTGGGTTGTGTCATGGTTATGAACTTGATGAATGTAAAACATACGCAACAATTTGAGTTTCCATTCCTAATTCTAGTCCCCAGTTGGTGCCCCTAAGTACTGAGTAAGGGTTGCTCTTTGATGGAGCGGGCTCCGCTCAGTAAAGCTATACAATGCGAGGTATAGCCAGTGTCTTCCATAACTCTTGAAGGTTTAAATAGTACAGGCGAAAGGTCGATCTCTCACAGCATGATGCTTACGGCAACTCCTTGATCACCAAGCTAGCCGTAGTAGGTCTGATATTACGGGTAGCCATGGTGCTCTAAACGGCTTGAGCAGCTGCCAAATACAACATTAGATACCTAATTTCAAAGCAGTGATTTTCTTGTCTACATCTACTGGTGAAGCCTCAAGTATGGTGTATTCCTCAGCTATAGTATCAAGCTAAGGTAAATATGCATCAACTGCTACAAGAACCTCCCACAGGCCATTCTATGAGCATAACCTACATTGTTGTTCTGGGTACTAGTAATCGCTCAGCGGACCACAGGAGTCTTTCATATGTTGGTCAACCTCCTTTGATCTCCCAGTGGTGGCCATGTCGGACTGAACTTGAAGGTGCAAGGCCCGGAACGGCAAATATTTGATCCGGGAATGCACTAAGCTGTCTACGGACTGGAGGCAACTTTGCCGACAAAGCCTACTTCAACTTTATCTTCAAGAGATGCTGAAGGTTATGAGGTTACTAGGTGCCTATGCTTAGCCATATTTCCAGACATGCTGTTTGACGTGAACAAAGACTTGCTTGAACAACGAAAACGCCTTGTCACGATGCGATTCACATTTTGGCATGATGACTTTCTTGTGGTATCCCTGCCTATCTCAATACCAAGCTGACCAACTTTGCCTGTGCTTTTTGCCTATGAAGTACCAGCTTGCTAAATAATGCACTAAGTCACCACCGCTCAATGAGTTATGTCGCCTATGCTTGACGATACATCATGCCTTCATTTCCTCATTTCCCGTCGGTTTCGCCCTTTGTGCCACCTCACAGGCCATCACTGCTCTCCGTAGAGCGTGCGTTGAAGCTCATTTGCGTGGGTCAACTCGTCCGCACTCTCCTCGGCCCAGCGTTTCATCAGGGACCGGTACACGAACCACCCGCTCCAAGTGGCCGTGTTGTCATAATTCGCGGCCGTCTGCTGGACAGCACGCGGGTTGAGCAGCCGCCACACCCTCACAATGAGCCGGGGCAGAGGCAGGAGATTGAGATCCTCCCCAGGGACCAAGCCCTGGTAGTGGTTGGCAATCTCCTGCCTCCATAGTGTGCCCCTGCGCTCTTGCTCCCGCATGGCTTCGTGATAGATCATATTTTGAGATGTTGTGGCTATTTGTACCTCGAGACGGGTACGAGTGTTATCCCAAATTGTCCTCCTGTAGGCTTCAACGCCGTCCATAATCTGCTCGAGTGACGAGTTCATGTCAGTGATGTCCAAACGCTGTTGCATAATTGTCACAGCAAGGGGCACAGAGGGCGTTTGTGCAGGTGACGTACCTGGAGTTGGAGTGCCAGTCACCGGCGGCAACGATGGCTGTGCACCAGCAGCAGAGGAAGGACCAGGTGCGAGTGCTGGCAAAGGGGGCACATTTGCCTGTGCCTGCGCATGACTCTGGCTCTGATTGCGGCGTTGTCGTCTCTGCACAGGCGTGGGAGGAATCCCGTCTTCATCCTGCATCTTTCGGTTCTCCCGACCGCACGCAGCCTGGATGTAATTCCATGGCCGCGTCATGGCCGCGTCAAGACGAGCATCCGCTGGCAATGCTTCCCAGATCCGTCCGCCTGTCCAGCCTTCAGAAAGGAAGATCCGGAGCAGACTTCCCCAGACATGGTTTGGGTATCTGGCACAGATCTCTTCCAAAGACAAGCGAGCAGGCAGAACCGTGTCTGCCGGAGGATATCCGTTATTTGCTGCTCGACCTTCTCGACCTCTTTCAACCATAATTGGTTGAATAGTTCTTGGAACGTTATCCTGTCCGAACAGTGCCAGATGGTTAGCCCCTGATGCAAGCCCAGGACCCAGTGTGAGCACTGCTTGCTCATCAGGTATCGGGCTTGCGGGGAATCTCGGATATGGATCTGATTTTTGCACATCTGCCAAAGTTCGTCGACGACGGGGAACTTGTCCGGGTGCATGACGGTCCCTGGTATTGTTGGCTGTGATGGCTCCAGCATCATTCTCCTCCCCGTCGTCTGGTGCCGTTATGTCTGGTTCTTCTGGGCTAGATGGCTGACCAATCAGTGTACCTTCATTGTCGACATACAGCGCACCGTTATACACAGCCTCGGCTAAGCCGAGGGCCATGCTGTTACGGACATTGGGGTAGCCAAAGTCATTGTTGCCGACCAGATTATCTGGCAGCTCACCAAACGTGTTAAGCATGTTGTCACCAAACCCCTGTGTACGCGACAATACTTCGCGACCATTGTCAAAAGCCCACTCCTGCTTCCCGGCCTGCTGGTTGGCGAGTGGCTGCTGTTGAAATGTCTGCGCATTGTGAAAGTCGTTATACCCATAGCCTGGCAAATTCGCACTGTTGTTGGCTTGAGATGCATTTGTCTGTGCTTGGACTTGCGTGTGCCGCCAGTCGCTGGTCTGGTCACGCTGACGGTTTGCCAATAATTCGTCAATGGCGTCATTGTCATTGTCAAACGACAATGCAGTTGCTTGCTGTTGCATGGCCGTGTTTGGGAATGGATTGAACTGGCCGCCATTGTTGGCAGGGTCATTTCCAATTCCAGCATTGTTAACTGGGTTTGCCGCTCTCTGGTGTCCTTGCATCTGCATACCTACAAATACGGGCCTTCGGTTGAAATTGTATGCTTCGTTCGGGGCATATCCAGTGAAATTAGCTGGAACCGCCGCTGTCTGGTGTCCTTGTACCTGCGTGGCTGGAAAACCGGCCTGTTGGTTGAGATTATACTCGGAGTATGGCGCAAATCCTGTGGTATCAACTGGCATCACCGCTGTCTGGTGTCCTTGCATCTGCATACCTGGGAAAGCATTCCGTTGGTTGGAACTGTACCCGGATCTAGTACTGTTGACTGGCACCATCACCCTCTGCTGTCCTTGCATCTGCAGCCCTTGAAAACCGTTAAATGGATTGATGTTGGATGGGGTGATGCTGTATTGATTTTGCATCTCTGGTAAGTTGTTGTATTGTTGTGTATTGGCTTCGAAGTTCTGCCCATATCCCTGGTTGGCGCCATTGAACGCAGCTCTCTGCATTTCCTGCACATCCACTTGTTGGAAGTTGTTGAGATTGTTCATATTTCCAGGGATAACTTGTTGGTAGCATGGATTGCCGCCATAGATTTGAGCTCCCTGAGGTTCCTGTATTTGCATCTCTTGCAAGCCTCTGTATTGTTGCATATTGTGTTGGATGTTCTGTGCATTACCAACGTGTCCTGCATGGAGCGCAGCTCCCGGAGGTTCCTGCATTTGCATCTCTAGCAAGCCGCCGTATGG